GAGCCGGCACTGGGGCAGAGAGAACACCGAGCCGGCACTGGGGCAGAGAGAGAGCTCAGAGCCGGCACTGGGGCAGAGAGAGAGCTCAGAGCTGGCACGGGGGCAGAGAGAGAACACCGAGCCGGCACTGGGGCAGAGAGAGAGCACAGAGCTGGCACGGGGGCAGAGAGAACACTGAGCCGGTACCGGGGCAGAGAGCACCGAGCCGGCCCTGGGGCCACAGTGAACATCCGACCGTCCTTAGGTCCGGGGTTGACACCCCGCAGTTCTCAGGCTCCAGACTGAACAGCCCAGCCAGCCCCAGGCTCCAGAATTAACACCGAGCCAGTCTTAGGTCCAGAGTTAACACCGAGCTATCCTTGGGCTCCAGATTGAACAGCCCAGGCAGCCTTAGGCTCCAGGGTTAACACCGAGCCGGCCTTAGGCTCCAGGGTCAGCATTCCTGCAGCTCCAGAGTGAAGGGCCGTGACAAGGGCCCGGCCTGGGCGGGACCCCCTGGGACCGGGGGCACTCCCGTCATGAGCTGGTGGCACCCGAAGCCCCGGCTGTGCCCACTCGTGGCTCTGGGCGCTGCACGGGGACCATTCCCCAGGAGAAGGGTGTGGAGTTACCCCCGTGTCCCCACTCCCTGCCCAGCCTGGCTGCAGGAATGCAGGCCGGGATCTTCCCCTGCGAGGAGAGCCCCCGCTCCCTCCTGAGCCCTTTCCACCCCCCGGCACTGCCCCGGGCTGCACCGACCCCCGGGATGGGGACAGGGCAAGGGGGCACAGACAGAGGGGTGACACAGGACCCAGGACCCCGCAAAAGGGAATCCCAGCCCTGGGGAGAGCCTGGCTGTGGTGCCAGGGTGTGGCAGCAGGAGGCAGGTTTGGTGCAGAGGTGGGTGATTCTGTCACCATCTCCCGCGGTGCCAGACCCGGCTCTGGCACTGGCAGGGCCACGTCAGCCTCCCACGGGCACAGGGGAGAGCACACAGGGGGTTTGGGAGGCAGCTCAGAAAGCACAGCACACCGTGGGAGGGGGTAGCAAGTCAGTGTCGTTTATTTTTTTAAAGCCAAATATAAACAGGAAAGGGATCAAATCATTTCCAGCCTCCAGCTGTCCCAGATCCAGGAAAATACCTGTTTATAAATAAAAAAGGAGAAAGGAGACATGTCCCCATCTTGCAACCTCAGCTGTGTCGGGGGCCCTGGGACTCTGCACCCTCTGGGCAGTTTTCCATTAAATGTGGCTTTTTGTTTGGTTCAGGCCCCTCCAGCCCAGAGAAGGGAGGGTAACAGCACCATTCTGTCCCTGCCTGCACAGTCCCTGTGTCCTCTGTGGGGAAGGAGCCAGCAGGGAGGCTGTCAGGGCCCAGGGGGCTGGGATGGCCCTGGGAGATGCTCAGAACTAGTCAGGACAACACCCTGAGCAACCTGGTGTGCAGGTGAAGGGGGCCTAGAAGGGACCAGGACACCCCAGGAGCCCTTCTCCAGCCTTTCCTCACCCCCTGTCCCAGAGGACACAGCACTCTGCTGGCCCCAGGCAGGGCTGGAGGGTCCTGCCGTCTGGTTTTCCTGCCAAGGTTGGTGACAAAGGTCATGGTTTGTCACAGAGGCCACACTCCCAGCCCTTGGCTGTGTCAGGGTGCTCTGAGCATGTTCCTGCTGGTCCTGCGTGTCAGGATGGGTGTGGGAGGGTTGGAAGGGCTTCCCAAGAGGATGTGGCACCACCAGCTGTCCCAGGGAACACACTCTGCTGGTGGAGGGCTGGGAGCAGCTCTGTCCCCTGTAAGGGTGGACAAACCTCCCACAGATGCTGCTGCCCACAGGCCTCACTCCCTGCTAGAGGAAACCCAGGAATGGTGCTCCCTGTAACATCCCTGAGTCCCTGGATCCAGTGGCACTGCTGGGAACCAGCCCACGGCTGCTGCTCAGCTCCCTGTCCTTTTCCTAAGGATCCAGACAGTGACTCCTCCTTCCCTCCACCCTCCTCCCAGCCTCCTCTTCCCCCACTCTGTTTTTCCTTCACCCTCCAGATTTAACCTGGGCTGTTCTGTCCCCAGGACAGATGGCCAATGACATGGAAAGAGAAGGGAGAAGATGGTCTGAGCTGCAGGAAATTCACCCCTCTGCTCCCAGGGGATGCAGGACCAGAGGACTTTGGCACTGCACTGAGGAACCGGGCCAGGCTTTCCACTTGGTTGGATGGTGGGAGAGGAGGGAGGCAATTCCACCTTCTCCAGAAAACATCCCTTCTCCTGGAGAGCCCCACAGAGACAGGACAAAGTGCACACTGTGTGCATCAGCACCGTCTGTAACATGGACCTGGACGTGGACCTGGACGTTACTCATGGACACAAGGAACTTCTGGGATCCACTGCTGTCTTCTCGGGGAAAAGGTGACTGTGGAAACCCCCTCCTGTGCTGCCAGGAGGGGAGGGGGCACAGGGAAACAGCAAATGTCACCCTGCTATCCCACAGAGGCGTTTCCTGCTGTGCAGGACCTCAGATGTGCAGCCTGCAGGAACTGATGTGCATTCTGAGAGGCTGCTCAAGCAGGGACAGAGAGGGATCCTTGGGGGGTTTCCAGCTTTCCCTGTCCACCCTGGATGCTTGGGCTGAAGCTCCTACAGCTGCAGATACTTCAGCAGGGAATTCCTCCTCACCAAGAGCAAAACTCAACCCAGAGCAAACAGCACAGGAGGCAGAGGGGCCACCCCAACCAAATGGGAACAAACAGGGGGGGCTTTACACACTTTGCCTGAAGTCCCAAAAGCAGACTTGGACCTTGGGCTGGTGTTGTGTGGTGCCTATTGAAAACACCTCAAGTTTCTTCCAGATTTGGCACATCCAAGGCTGTGCTCCCGGGTGACACCAACACCCACAGCCAGGCATGGGCAGCACAGCAAAGCAGAGCTGTCTGAGGACACAGTTCCTCCACCAAACACCTGCCAAAGGGCCCAGGATTTAGCTACAGGGCTGCTGGGCTGCCCTGTGCACCCAGTCCCTCACAGCACACAGCACTCCCCTTGGAAACGGGAAGGGTGCAGTCTGTGGTGAGCAGCAACTCCCCCACTTCCTCCTTGAACAGACTCTCCTCGGGGTATGAACACAGAGTGGCCCCAAAAGAGGGATATAATGGGCTCTGCTGGCTGCTCTGGGACCCCTGGCTTTAAGCACATAGCATGTGTTCACGTGGGTTAGAGAAGCACTGGCCAGCACCAATTTTCAGGGGAACTCTGTGTGGCTTCCGTTGGCTCCTGTGGTTTTTTTATGGCACGACTCTGCCTGGCACTCAGGCAGCACCTGAGGGCTCCTATGAGCTTGGTAAAATTCCCTTGATACACTTGAGAGAGGCCAAGATGTCACCAGACTGCCCATTTGGCAGAGTCCAAGGGAACTCGGTGACATCCAGAGCTGGGACTGGGAACGGGGAGCCCAAACCCTGCTCTGCCTGTTCTCAGCTACCAGCATCAACCCTGGGACTCCACAGCCCCATTCCCAACCTGGCACCCCTGCTAGGAATCTTTTGGGATCTGCTTTCAACCCCCAAAAAGGACTGGAGGGCTGGGGTCTGCTCCAACCCTCGAGAACAAGGGATGGGTTTTAAGATTTTTGTCTGAGGTTTCCCTACCCTGATTCGAAATGGAAGTTCCTCCTTCCCTGCAAGGTCATTTCAGTGCAGACCTGCTCCAGTGGAAGGTGTCCCTGCTCTTGGGAACTGGATGAGCTTTAAGGTCCCTTCCAACCCAAACTATTCTGTGACTCTATGATTATAATCCTTCACAGTTCCCCTTGGAGCAGAGCACCTTCTCCATTCCTCAGCACATTCCAGGCTGCTGTCCCTGAAGGCCTGGGGTCCCTACAGACCATCACCACCACTCCAGGGGCAACGTGCTGGGCTTTGAGTGTTTATTTCTTGCACACAACCAGTGCTCAGGACTGCAGGAGGATGACCAGGACTGCAGGAGGATGACCAGGACTGCAGGATGACCAGGATTGCAGGAGGATGACCAGGATTGCAGGAGAATGACCATGGTTGCAGGAGGATGACCATGGTTGCAGGAGAATGACCATGGTTGCAGGAGGATGACCAGGACTGTGGGAGCATGACCAGGACTGAAGGAGGATGACCAGGACTGCAGGAGGACCAGAACTGCAGGATAACCAGGACTGCAGGATGACCAGGACTGCAGGATGACCAGGACTGCAGGAGGATGACCAGGACTGCAGGAGGATGACCAGGACTGCAGGATGACCAGGACTGCAGGATGATCAGGACTGCAGGAGGATGACATGCAGTTCAAGCATTGCTTTAGGGCAGGGCTCTGTGATTTCACCTGAAGTGCTACAAGAGCCTAAGAGCATCCACCTAATTCTACAGGGACCTAATTCTCAGCTCTGAGAGAACTACTGTGTTGCAACTGGACAGTTACAGGAGCTGCAGCTACTCTACACACATTGCTTCAGAAACCACAAAGATATGCACAAACACTGTCACTCTGCACCCCTGGACCCAGAGGAAAACCTTTTCTGCTGTGGTTCAGTCTTTAAGTCATGTTAAAATTCATGTGCCTCGAGCTGCTAAAGCTCTTCCCTTGCAGGCAGCAAAGTCTGTGCTCCCCCAGAATCCAGTCTCTTTTGGCAAAAAGGAAGAAGGCCTCGAGCTGCAGGAATCAACATCTTGTTTCCATACACAGGTTGGCTGACTGCAGGGCTGGCCAGTTTCCAGTCATAATTCCAATGTATTGCATAAATACCTACAGATTGGAGGTGGCAGCGAGTGGCAGCTCCCTGTACATCAAAGTCATTGTGGCACCGGCCCCAAGGCTCCCAGGAAAGTGCCACGAGGTTCCAAAGTGTCCTGGGAGCACTCAGGCCATGCCACAGGTCCTGCCTTGGACACACATGATGAACAGATCACGAAACATGGGTTGGGTGTGTTCAGCAGGCGTGGAAAAGGACGAGAAGCTCCTCTTCTGCTTCAGGAGAGTCCGTGTCCTCAGCAAGGTGGCCACTGGACCCAGTGCCTGCCACCCCCAGAAGCCTCATTGCTGCTGGTTTTGTTGCTGGGGCTCTTTCCCAGGCCCAAAAGGATATTGCCAGGCCCAAAAGGATATTGCCAGGCCCAGAAGGATATTCAGGATTGGAACAGAAGCTCTATGAACAATCAGACTACAGAGGTGAAGCAAAACCTGACCAAAAACTCAGACCGGAGAGGACGACAGGGAAACGTAAGAGACTTTAAAAACTATCACCTGCCTGGGATATACATTAAAAACCAAAGCAAACAGACACAACCAAACAAAAACCCCACAGTTCTGCAAGGACAAGCAACTTCCTTCTCTGGAAGAGGGGGTTCTTCCACGTTCCACACCAGGGATCTCACTGTGTCGACCTCCTAAGGCAAGACAACCACAGGACAGTTTGTGCAGATCCTTCCGAAGGACCACGCGCTTCCTTGGCATGGCTGTCCCTGCAAGATCCTTCTGCTTGGCCTCAACTGCCAACATGTCCCTGTGCCTCTCGGGCCAGAAGGGGCAGGCAGGCAAGGGGAAGATGCTGTAGCACCAGTCTCAAAGTTCAATGCAGTTTTCAATGCATTATCAAGCCAAAGGATTGTCACCGAACTTGCTTTCCACGCAAGTTTTGCCAAGAGGGTAAAGCTACACTCCAGCTGCTTCTGTCCTCACGCTGCCTTCTGCACTCACTCCTTGCCTGAGCTGTAGATCTTCTGAACCGTGGCTCGTGTGAGCTCCAGATCCTCCGGGTACCGGATTTCCAGCTCGGTGTTTGCCAGGTAGTGAAGGCCGGTGAACTCGGAGAAATAGCGGCCGATGTCGGGGTGAGGGATCTCCCGAGGCTCCGAGTTGTATTCCAGGTTCTCTGCCAGGAAAGGAAAGGATAGGATCAGTTATCACCACAGGAAATGGTGCTAGTGCAAGGCAAGAAACCCTGGGCCTGTTTCTGGCTCTAGAAACACCAAATCTCAGTTCTTTGAATTAAAAAAAAAAACCTAATCCAGGAAAACGTGCATGGAATACGGCAGTCTGAGGGGGCACAGAGCCTCACCTCCTGAGTGACCCCATTTACCAGTGGCATGAGAACTGTTTTATGCCTGAGACTGCCTGACACTGGGCTGGAGCAGCAGGATGCTGCTCCCACTCTGGTAAGTGCAGGGAGCAGCTGCTGCACTGAGCTCTGATCCCTCATGGCCCATGGGAGATCAGTTTGGGGACAGACCCTCCTCAAATGCTCCAAGCTGAGCCCACCTGCACAAGGTTGTCCTGGCAGAGGAGCCAAGTGCTTCCTTGCTCAGCCTGTGTTTCCACCATGCCAAGTGCCCAGCCTGGGTTTTGGGCATCCCACAGCAAAATCAACTGCTCTAAACCCAAACTTCCCCCAAGTTAAACCAAAGTTCCTAAGAAAGGCAGGTTGATTCTTTCCCAGAGCAGCCCATTTCCTCCTTTGTACTACAAGATAACCTGATTAGGCACAAGAGTTAAACCAACACTAAAACCCAGAGGTGACCCCAGCCCAGGGCCGCTCTGCTCTGCAGGGTCAGCACAGAGCAGGACTGGCAGTAAATCCCACACAGGTGCCCTGCAGCAGCCCCCAAATGATGTCATTTTTTTTCCAGCACAGTGCCAGATAATACAGGAACTATTATCTAGAAATAAAATAAAAAAAAAAAAAGCTGCCAAGTCTCAAAGCCTGACTTTGGCCAGGGCAGGAACAAGACGTGATGCAGAGAATGTCATTCCGGAATAATCCGTCTCTGAAATTCCGTTCACTACAGAGAGCCCAGAGAATTCCTATTAATCCATGCAGGCTCTTTGAAGCTGCTGCAGAAGCACAAGGGCTTTCTATCCCTCAGCAGTGGTGCAGTCCAGTCCTACAGGCTTGCAAAGGACCTCTCTGGATACTGCACCACTGCGGAAAAGAATTCCCAGTCCGAGGGCTCTGCAGCAGCAGGGCTGAGCAGGGAGCTGTGCACAGGGAGAAGCAGGAGCTGGCAGGGGGGGAGAGGCTGAGACAAGCGAGCTCTGCACAAGGTGGGAGCCTCCCAAATGTGCTGACAAGCAGTTCTGAGCCAGGGATACAAAACACAGGCACCAAACTCGCTGCATGACACAGGTGTTCTGGAATCACATTGACAGGAAGGCCTCAAGCTGAGCTACATTTACCTATTACAAGCTCAGTGTTACTCCTGAGCTGGTCAGACTAAACTCCACATGTAGATTTAAGAGTCTTTCAGTAAAAAACTCGCATTCCCTCCCCAGTCAGGTCAGGGGGTTATGAAATCATCCTTCCCAGGTGATCTCAGGACACATTTCAGAGGGGATATCAACAGCCAGGCAGCAAGCAGGGACAAACCCGACAGTCCTCCCAAGGAATATCAGAACACTTGGAGGCTTGGCTGAAACACACCCTGGGACCAGCCAGAACTGTGCCTGTTTATAAACCATGAGACAAAAGCTAAGCAGTGACTCAGCCCCAGCAGCACTGTGGACAATTACCTGATTAGTCTCCACCAAGATGCATATTTTAATATCAACCCACAACACAAGAATTTCTGGTTTTTAAGACTCTCTGAGGGGCCAAGCCCTGCCTAATATGGACCATCAGGCTGAGATGCAATGCTCCCATTTTTTGCCTTTTTTTGGACCACTGAATATAAAGCAACTCTAGGACAGTGGGAGACACCTGCACTTTAAATCTACAAAGGTACAGGTGTTCCTTCCTGTCAAAGCACCTCTTGCTCGTGGGGACAGAACATCCAGGGAGCACCTAAGGAAAGGGCTGACTATATCCCAGCACTTCCAGCAGCTTCCACATCTTCTCTTAGCAAAACACGCTCTGGCTGTGCAGCTGCCCTGCCTCCCTATCACAGGGAGAACACAAACACGAGGCAAACAAAACACTCTTTTGGCAAGATACAGAATCACAGATGCATTTCTTCTGTTTTAATTTTCTTCCCAACCTCAGCCTGACACCTCTTCCCGTGTCCTAACCACAAGTTCTGACCAGCAAAACTTCCTCTTACGGTTATGTTGCATAAAGAACATGTGATATAGAGATTTCCACACCTCTTTGCACTTGTAAAGGGACATTAACTTTTGTTCTTGTTAAGGTGGCACTAAAAGCCAGGCTACCTGTGTTCTCTGGGATCCTGGCACGTGCTGTCTCGATGACAGCTGCTCAGAACCAGGTCCTGCAAGCAAAGCCCGTGTGCTCCCTCACTAGATCCCATTTCCAGGTCCTGTCCAAGGCACAGCTGTTATTTCCACAAGAAAGAGCTGCTGGCAGACCTTCAGCCTTCAGCAAAAGCTGAATTACTTCTTTCAAAGCAGCAACCACAGGGTTCACACCATAAAACCAACCACATTTGTCATGAACAAGTGTTTTAAGGTCGCTTAAAGACACTTCTTGGGCAAGAGGAAATTACACCAGAGTGGGCCTTAATGCCCATTCCTTGCAGTGCTGATTTCATGGAGAGCAAACAAGATTCAGGATTAGAATCATAGAATCAGCTGGGTTGGAAGGGACCTCAGAGATCATCAAGTCCAACCCTTGATCCAACTCTGCTGTGGTTACTAGGCCATGGCACTAAGTGCCACATCCAGTCTCTTTTTAAAAATCTCCAGGGATGGAGAATCCACCACTTCCCTGGGCAGCCCATTCCAATGGCTGATCACCCTCTCTAGGAAAGAATTCTTCTACCTACTGGCACAGCTGAAGACCCAGCCCTCTTGTCTTGCTGATCATTGCCTGGGAAAAGAGACCAACCCCCCCCTGGCTCCCCCCTCCTGTCAGGGAGCTGCAGAGAGTCAGGAGGTCTGAGCCTCCTCTTCTCCAGGCTGAGCCCCCCCAGCTCCCTCAGCCTCTCCTCACAGCACTTGTGCTCCAGTCCCTTCCCCAGCCTTGTTGCTCTCCTCTGGACCTGCTCCAGCCCCTCCATGTCCTTCCTGAACTGAGGGCCCAGAACTGGACACAGCACTCCAGGGGTGGCCTCACCAGCGCTGAGTCCAGGGGAAGAATCACTTCTCCTTGGACCTGGCTAACATTTGCTAACAGTTTACGTTTCACATGAAAGAGTCACTCACTTTAGCACCCCTTTCTCCCAGTGCACTCACAAACACAGCCCAAGGAGGCTCCTGCTCACCTTGGGCAGCGTATCTGCACGAGCCATCCTCCACCAGGACGTTGTAGAAGGGCTGGTGGGGGCCGTGGGGGAGGCTGTGGACGTTCATATTCCGGATCCACTCGTGTCCCATCATGCAGGCGGGGTCCCAGCCGTAGATGACGCAGTTATAGCCGTACCTAACGACAGCAATTGCACACCAAACACCGTGAAAAACCCAGAGCCAGCTCTTTTCCTTCCAGGCTAATATAGCACAAAGGGGATAGGAACCTCCTGTGAGCTGGCACGGGGAGGAGAGGGAAGAAAAAAAAACCAGTTCAGGAAGATGGTGTGTGTTATTTTGAGGTGGGGGGAAATGACTGGGAGTGACTGGAGAAACAGACAGGAATAAACAGCTGAGGACAAAGGAAAACCAAACGTGAGCAAGAAAAGAAGATAGGAAAGAGACTGGAGGTCAGCAAGCAGAATAAGAAACAAGAAATAGGGAGGGAATGAACCACCCTACTGCACTGTGCAATTCTGTGCCATCACACAGATGTGGTAATCCCAACCCTGAGCTCCCAGAAACAAAGGCATGATTATTTACGGAATATTTATGGGATTAATCGAGAGGTATAATAACTGTCACTGCTGATGCCCTTCAAATATGCTCCACATGTCTTGTTGAGTCAGAGGAGTGGCCATGCTGGCATGTCACTGTGGCAGAGCAGCACACACAGCAACACAAAGCCCCTGTGCAGTGCAGGGAGAAGAGGGAATAACAGCACAGGGAAAGATCCATATGCTCTCAGAATATCGTTGGATTCCAAATTTTAGATATGAGAAAAGAAACTGCTAGGTTTAAACAGAAAACCTTGAGTCACAGAAGCTGGGGAAAAACCCCTTTTAGTAACTTCATCACTGTGGATTCTTCCTGCCTCCTCCAGCACAATGGAAGAGACTCCTTGCATGATGTTATCACATGCCCTGCCCAAGCCAGGGAGACCATACCCTGATTTGATCAATCTATGCAGAAGACCCACTGTGTTTTATCTCTGCTTTCCTGTTACCTGTCCCCCCTGTAAAATCACTGCCCAAGTTAAAGTGGGTTTTTCCCATGAGGTAATTCCTGAGACCCCAAAAATGTTACCCTGGGTTTTTTCCCTTACCTCGTCCTTGTGAAACCCCCCAATTTTAATACCACAAATATGTAGAACCCCCCGTTGAACATGTAAACCCTGAACCCTCTAAATATGAAGCTGTGAACCCAATAAAGGATTCCAGTGTTCTGCCTGCCCTGGGCTCGTGACAGCTTATTGACCTCTGCAGGATACATAAGAATCTCTTCTAAAAGTTGATTCTGCTCCACAGTCCCTCGTTAACCGACGGCGACGTTTCTTGGAGAGCTCTGGAAATTTTACCTGTGTGATACCCAGTGACTCAGACAAGTCCCCTCCCAAACCCCTCTGCAGTCCAGCAGCAGTGCCAACACTCGCTCTCTGGGCTGCTCCCATTTCCCTGCACGCTCCACGGCACAGCCGCGCGTGCCTGGCATTTCCCATGGCAGCTCCAGCTGCTGCCACGGCCAGCCCTCCTGCTCCAGGGGGGGTGCAGAGCTCACCTCTTGTGTTTCATGATGAGCCCTATGGAGAAGCAGACCTCCTTGTGCTTCTCGTCGGAGCGCTGCTTCACCTCGGGCCCCACCTCCTCCTTGCGCCGCTCGATGTGCTCCAGGGTGTGCTGCACCAGGTACCCCACGGCCCCGTGCTGCGACGGGTCCAGGGCCTGGATGTGCTGCAGGATGTCCAGGACCTGCAGCAACCAAAACAAAGGCACGTTCAGAACCAGCCCCTGCAGCAGCACTTGTATAAGTACATACAGGTCTAGCGCTGTGCTCAGCTGTGTGTAAGAGCCCAGGCCTAGAGATCCGCCACGGGAACTTCCCACACTGAGCTCTCTGCTTGTTCCACGCTTAATCTGCACAAACTGCACACAGTGCTCTCCTTTCCTGTCTGTACAGCTCCTGGCTTCCAAGGAAGGGCACTGGTGAGCACAGCAGCTCCTTAAACCTGAGTCACAGCAGCTCCCCACCCCGCATTTTGTGACACAGGGCACCGATGAGAGGGTTTCTCACGGTTTCTGAAATGTTATGAGGGTACTGCTGTTAGTCCCCCAAACTGCTGCTGTGAAGTGATTCCACATGACTCCTGCTGCACTTGAGAACTAATATTTTAACTTAAAAGAGTTCCTCAGCGTGTCTGTGGGAGCCTGGCAGGGAAAAACGGGGCAGCACTGAAGGAAATGCAAATAACCTCTGTGATGCTTTCTCCTGGAAGAGTGAACAAGACAGAAAACCTGCCTGCCTCAGGATGAGGAAAGAACACCAGCTTTAAACGTGCTCTTAAAGCAGCAAGCCCTGCAGATCCAGAATTCCAGCCTTCCAACACCCTCTGGCACAACATCAGAGCATCTGCTGCCAAGTTTGTCAGAGGCAGGCGATGCAAATTTTACTTTTTTTGTTAAAAGCGAGGAAAAAATCCCCAACCTGTTGTTTAAACATGTTGGGAAAAGAGACACAGAGCTGTCTCAACATCAAATACCTCAAGTGATGCCACAGCCCCAAAATCTGACACATTTTAGCACCTGGCAAAAGGTTTGTCTCCTTGATCACGTGCTGGAAGGTTTGGTCCCTCTTAAGTTTAGAGCAGCAGCAGCAAAAGAATAGAAATCTCAGGTTCCATCAGCCAAGAAGTGAGGAAAATCAATCAAGAAAAAAAAGAAGTGAGTAATTTGGTATGAGAAGAAACGCAGCTCAGGCTTCATGGTCACTTTAATTCTCTGAAGAATTAAGAAGGAGCTGAAAATCCTGAAAAATCCTACAGGAAGGGGAAGGCCTGGCACAGTAACCACAGCTGCCAGACATTCTAGGGAATTTCATATACTGTCACTTGAAAATGTTTAGGACAACATTCTGTATGACTTTTAAGGTTTTCTACCACTTCTCATAAATCTGGCAGTCCCCTATAAAATCTGGTACCTTCTGCCCCTGTCAGACAGAGAGCATTCTCTCTGGTTAACTGCCTGGAAGGACTGGATGCAATCCTAGAAAGTCCAAATTTGCCCATTTCCTTTGCATCTGGCAACGTGGTGCAGAGAACTCCATGGAAGACTCAGCCATGGGATCATACTGTGTGTCCTGAGGACAGCAAATCCAAGGATTGGGGCTTCACAAACACATCCCTGAGTGCCAGGAAGGGGGAGGAAGATCTTCCAGTGTTTCACTGAGCTCCCCTCTATCTATGTACAGTTGCCATTTGATATCAGTGAGTCCTTCCCACACACAATTTCTCTGTGCTGGTTTTCCCGTGGCCACCCTAAAACTTGCTGCTGTAAGAAAGGAACTCCAAGCTCAGCACAGTCTGTTCTTCAAAAGGAAGGCAGGCAGCTTTTCCAGCAGCCCTGTCTCAGATAATTTGGTGGAGAAAGCTTTGTTTTCTGCTCAGATGTCCAGCCAATACTCCTGCCCCCTCCCCACACCTCACGTTTGGGACTGGCACTGCCCAAAGGCTGAGCTTCGCTGAAGCAGCACAGGAAATTTTGACCTCTTTGCTGCACTGAAGCACTAAAGAAATTATACTTTTTGGAGTTACAGGCTTCTTCCCTGTGCCTTCTCCTAAATTGGATGATCCAAACAACTCCTAAGTCCCAGCACCTTCTTTCCCACACTCACAAGACTGCAGGACTCGAGCTGCTACACTAAAGGTAATAATAATCAAAAAGAATTCCAAGGACAGGAATATCAAGCTGCTTTTTCACTAGAGCCACAGATTGTGTGGCCAAGTTTCCAGAGAACAGCTCTGGTCATATTTATAAAAGATAACTTCCTCAAGTTTCCTGATAAGGTAACTGCTCCTTTTACAGGAGTCCAGCAGGAGTTTGAGCACAATTCAGGCATAAACCAAACAGGATGATCTCAGAACTTAACAGCTAAAAGTGTTGTTTGCAAGATAAGCTGTGAGGCTTGGGCAGTAAATCATGAATTATGACTCCAGGCTGCTCATGAGTCTCCCCTAGGACAAGCAGGCAAGAATCATCCTCTCTTCTCTGCTCTGCATGGTAGGGATTGATTCTCTGCAACGTGATAACTCATTCCATTGCATTTATTACAGCAACAACTTGTGGCAGACTGTAACACAAGCTGAGGCAGCCCAAAAATCAATAGCCCAGTGTTAGCAGTGCTTAACCTACCCAAAAAACACCCAACCACGTGGAGAGGTACCTTTTCTGGCCAGATTCCCAGGTGGAAGTATAACCTAGCCTGGAGCATTAGATGCTGCACATTGTCCGGATACATGGCCAGGTACAGATCCAGGGAGTCTCTCAAGAGCTGGTAAGACTGGTCAGTGCTTTCTCTGCCAGCAAAAAAGAAACCCAGTTGTAAGGCTCTGCAACCCCTACCCCCAGTACTCCAGTGGACAGGGAGAGTCCCCAAAAATGATGCTACGGGTACAGGTGTCTTCCCTCAGTGACTCCAGCACAGACTGGGCACATCCAACAGCTCAGGAGGAAAATCCCTGCCCAGCTGACTGGGCTCTGCCCTCCCACTCCACGGCTGTCAAACAATCCTGCACAGAGAACTCACTCACCAAGCCACTCCCTGCTGAAATCTCCTTTTGTTCCCTTAACACCTCAAGCAATCCTTTCACTCCTGTGATTTCTGTCTGTGGCTACTTGGGACAGGGATTATCAGGGGTATCTGGAAATAAAACTCAGATGTTCTACACACCAACAGTATCTCTGAAACTGCTCCTTTGAGCATGTGGGTTGTGCTTACCAGGTCACAACAAAGGTCCCTGCTCTCAAGGGAAGGGTGGACAGTCCCTATGAACTTTTCACAAAGGGGGAAAAAAAAAAAAAAGATCTATTTTCTTGAGGGGAATTAATTTTACTAAACATTCTTATTTCCACTCAGGTGAAGGTGATTAAAGGCAACCAGACAATGCATTGTGACAAGACAGAATTTTGAGGACCTCATGGGGTGACTGACACCTTTCTGAAGCACTCGCTCCCAAACTGTGAGAGGGGCAATTTGGGATGTGATGCCAGGATACTCTGGGGGCCCTCAGAGGTGAGAAGATCTCGACTCACCGCTTGCCCAGGTTCAGGAGGTTGCCCACCATGCGCTGCAGGACCTCTTTGGAAGTCACCACCCCATAGAACTCCTCCGTCACGTGGTGCCCGATCAGGTACTCGCACTCCTTCACCGTCAGCTGCTTCCCCTTCCCAAAGGCATCAATGTAGGTGTAGTCAAAAATATCTGTGCTCCTGAGAAACCACGGGGAAACCCAATGGTGAGGAAGGGTCTGCTGGGAAAGCAGGATCAGCCATTTCTCTTCTTCCCTCAGCACTTTTGTAAAACGAGCGTCATTTATTCCTCAGCTCCCCCCTAAACAGAGATTACCTGGTACCTTCCCTCCCTTTTCTGATTTTCATAAGGGAAACAACACCCCATGGTCACTGTTACCTCAGGAAATCTGTTCCCAGAGCTGATTTTTGTGGGGAAACTTTTCTAGAGGTCTGCTCTTTTTCCTCTGTATAGGTTATAATTCCAGGTGGAAAATAATGACACATTTTCATATAGGTCTGGAGCTGTAAATGCTTTCTGGTTTCAAAATTCAGCAGGCCACTCACCCTTCTTTTCCTTGACACCACCTCAGGAGAAAATGGCTGGGGAAGTTGACTGGTTCCAGTTTGACTCCCAGTTGCCTGGCAATTGTTAAATAAAGCACAGACAAACTGATGGGAATTCCTGTCCTGCGGATCAAAACCTGGGGGAGACAAAGGTGAGAGAAACACGTGGGGTATTGAGAAAAAACACAAACCCCTGAGGTTTGATTTCACTAATGAAAACACCACAACTCCAGAGAATATGCCTTAAAATATTATATTGTATTTTACAGTAAGTTGTTCTTCACAGAGAATTATTTGTCTGGCTACACTTAGACAAAAACCCATCACAAACAGAACGTCTCAGGCCTTCCAGCCTCGTGTTTTTGTGCCAAAAACATACCTGGTGAATGTATGAATTCAGGGAGTTGTAGTAATCCAGCTCGTTTCCTTTGTATTTTAACTGCTCGTACAGGACACAGTTCATGGCATCGAGAACCTGCCGCTGGAGCTCCACTTCTGGAACACAGACCTCTCCTGAAAACAGGTGCAAGGGAACAAAGACTGAGAAAACAAGTGCACTTCACCTCTGGGCAGTGATCTTCACACCAGAAAGCTTCACGTGGGCTCACTCTGCCCTTGAAAGCCAGGAAAACATCACAGAGTGTTTATAAAAAGCATCTTTTTTTTCTGAGGAGCCTGTTTTTCTGCCTAAAAGCCCCACACAATCAAGGATTGCTGTATTATTAGTGTTTAGAACGTGTCATTACTGCAGAAGGAAGCACTGTTAGAGGGTCTGTTATTAACTGCATCTTATAAATGATTTACAGTGATACCCTTACCCCTAAAAAGAAACCAAAGTAAGTTGAAAAGCGATAATGGCTCCTACCACTGCCACACTCAAAGACCAGAATAAAACCAAGCAATTGCTAACTGCACCACAAATTCAATCAAGTGGTTTTAGGTATTAGACTGATGCACTTTAATAACAGCTATTCCAGCTTAAGATAATTTTCCAACCATGTCAGAGAAAACACTGACCTTTGGAGGTGTCAAAACATGCACCTTTTTTCTGGGACTTGCAGAGAAGAGGTTGTTTCCCTGCCCACAGCTCTTCTACAGATATCAGGACTATTAAGACTTCAGGGATAAATGGGAAAAAGAATGAATTCCCCTCCCAGTTCTGTTTGCTCAGACAGCATCAGATGGATGAACCCCGGGCTGGGAGGGCTCTGGGGCTGAACAAACAGCTCTCTCCCGAGTGATGCTTTAAGCAAACGTCAGAATGTGTTTGCCAGGGGATAAAGAACAACAACTCCTCAAGCTGCCACAACTCAACAGCTGTTTCCCCTTGTCTGCCTGCACCCAGAGCTGCAGGAAAGCTTTATTTTCTGTACAGTACCTGCCTTGGAAGCCAAGCTGGGGTGCCGGGGGTTTTTGGTCCGCAGGACTTTGCGCACCTTGTCCGCGATATCGTCCACCTGCGCCTGGACGCTTTTTAAGCAGATGTCTGACAGGGGGTTACAGTACTGATCAATTAAAACAGCACCTGCAAGAGACAAACTACATAAGAAACAGGACTTCAGTTTTTTTTTTTCTTTGCTTAGTTTTGCCTGCTCTGCATTCCAGGCATGCAGCGAGGGACTGCAGCAGAGCACCGGAGCTGTCGGTCTGTAACGTGCAGCCAAATGTTGGATTTTATCACAGAAAAGGCAAGGAACAAGCTGACACGACAAATAACCAGGTAAATTCAGTATTCCCCCCTCCACCACCCTGAAGGGGAAAGCAGTGGATTTGTACACTGAGCAGGTATGCTGCTAGGTCAGGCTTAACCAGCCAGCTCTGCGGTCACACTGCATCCCCTGGCACCTTCCCAACTCACACTGCTTTTTATTCAGAGCCTGAAACAATCCCAGCTTCACTTGTGCTTCAGCTCTGATTTCTTTCTGCAGCATCTTCCACAGCTACCATTCTTGTTCTCTTCTGCTACATTCATCTTTCCCTTCCACACCTGCCCTCCATCTTCTTATCCAAAACCCCGCTGGAACAGAACAAACTTTCATTTTCCATCTGCCCAAACCTCTTCTGTCAAACCTCTGCAGGAAAAAAACTATCCCTCTCAAAGGATATTCTCCTTGTCATCACTGCTCTTTCCAAAGCCTCACATTGCCTAATCTTTGGAATCAACTGCAGACACCTGCAGGAATTCTGCATGGACCATACCTCTCCCAGCTTCCTACATCACTCTGTTAGCACATCCATGGCAGGGAATTCCAGGAATTCAGCAGGGCCCCAAGCCATGGCTTCTTTTAGTCCCCTTCAAGTGTTCCCTGTGCTGGCCAGGTGGAACTTCACAAGACTTTCTGTGCTCTGATATGGCTCTAATAACGTGCCCTTCATGGCAGACTGTTTGTGCACCTATTTGTGACCCACATGATTAAGTCAAACAAATAGCTGTCCAAAAAAAGCCACTGTGGAGAAGGACAAGAAGGGAAAGCCAAAGTCTACTGCCACCAACAAGAACCACCTGTGGTGTTAGAGGCTCTTCCATAGGCCATTTTGGAGTGTACACCAAGAGTAAGGGACTCTTCTACAGCCACTGGCAGCTTTGGATGCATTCAGAAGACTGTCCTCTCCCCAGGAAGCTTGGGAAGGAGAATAATCCACCAGAGTGAAGACATGAATAGAAGAAAAACCTTTTCTTTCTTCTTATCAGGTGCACAGGTTACTGCCCTGTGCCTGGACTTCCAGCCACTCCCCATCCCTACCCTGCACAGCTTCCAGAGCCCAGTTCTTGAGGGACAGTCCCGAGGCCAGCTGAAATATTAAGCAAGAAAGGTTCCTTCCAAGCAAAACAATGATGGGAAAGCTGTCAGGAGGTGCAAACCACGGGATTTCTGCCCAAGACTTACCCTCCAGGAACGACTGTCGCTCAGTCGGGCGCTGCAGATACTCCTTCAGGTTTTTCAATATGTTCTGTTGCCGCAGGAAATAGAGAATTTTCTTTGCATAATACTTCCAGGTGAGGCCTTTCCTGCACATTTAAATACAAGAAGAGGCATTGCCCTAAACAGGTATTTTAAGGGTGAACATTTGACTGAACTTCTCCGGTGAACAGGAGTTTATAATTTAGATTATTGCTTTGTTTAACGGGTTTGACAATGCTGTCGCTGAAAAGTCAGCCAGAAGGGGAAAGGTTAAGAGGAAATTTATCATCAAAACCCCCACAAGGTAAGACACTTTCAAAACATTGTTCCCACCATCTCTGATTTTCATCCTACCACCAATATATAACTTTGAGTAGGTGCATTATCATGGGAAACAACACAGATCCTAATTAAAGTAGCTCAGGAATATCCGATCAAAATCCTATATTTTATTCATAAAACATTCCCCTCTGTCTGAGTGGATCCCTCCAGAGTCAATCTGAAAGCACCCTCTCAGCATTAAAAATGAATTGATGAGGGATATGAATGTGAGTCCAACAGTATGGAGGAAAAACACACAACTCCCCCGAGGAAAACCAACTCTGTTGCTCTGAAAAGGCAGGAACGGATCAACAGTTGGTGTGTAGATGACACAATCCTAAAGCTTTTTAAAGTAAAGGCCCACCACTTTCTAAATTAACAGGTGGAGGCAGTGAAGCAGCACTGCAGAGCTGGTTACTGTCCAGGGAAGGTTGGAGGAGGTCACCTGCAACAGGACAAACCCAGAGGTGTTCACACCACGGGCATCTAAACAAGCCCTGGCCTCAAAAACACCCAAAGGGAAAATCCTCCTCCTTCCCTTGCCATGTGTTTAAAACAAGCCCAGGTTCCTTCTTCAGAAAAAAACCCCTCTTTCCCTGCTTACACTTCCTGTCCTCCAGACTGCAGGTCCAGTCAGGCTTCTCCATCCTCCTGGACAGGAGGACAATCCAACCCCATCAGGTTTTATCCTCTTCCCATAAACTGGGATCCTCAATAGGGACAACTGCTTTATTGGGATGTCTTCCAGGGCAATGATTTAGCCTAATGCTGCTGAATGGCAATGAGTACAGCTTAATCAGGGGGTAATTAGCAGCAATTCTGCTTTATGGGGAGGTATTTGGCCAGCAAAAAGGGCTCAGAAGCTTTTCAACCAGTCATCAAGGGAGGGATGCTCAGTCCCAGTTCAAATGGCAAAAGTAATAAAATGGTTGTGAAAAGGCAAAAATGAGCTGATTGCCATTCCAGTGAGGTTTTTTCAAGCTCTACTGACAGTCCCTCTAATTAAGGCTTTTAGACCCCATTAACAGCAATCTATCATTGCTTTTGATCACACCAAAACCAGCAGAAAAACCTCCAAGGAAAGCAGTGACTTATTCATCCTGCCCAGTGCTCACGTGGTGATGAGGAAACCCAGGCAGATGCAAACCAGAAGTTTTATTTACTCACTTGCCATTTCATTTGCCTGAATAATTTACAGGACTGTAACGTCTGCAGTGGCTGAATTAAACTCAGATTTAAACTCTGAATTAAACTCTTATTTGGGAATAAAAAATTGTACCGACCTACTACAGCTAAGAAAAGCAACAAGAGGAAAAGAAAACAAAAAGCTGTAATTTCATGCTACATGGCTTCAAAGTGGCAATCCTCAAGTATTCCTGCTTCCCTCTGGAGGGAATGATCCTGCAAAGCAGTTCAGCAAACTGATCCAGGCTTAAATAAAACAAAGGAACATGAGGATGGGAAGTTGCTGCAGAGAAGGGGGTCCCAAGAGATGGCATGAATTGGTAAGGAAATAAGCAACACCAAGCCAGGGGATTCCTTTTTGTGGGACAGTTCACGTGGTTCCTTCTGGAAATATTCAATTTGTTCTGCAATTAAACCCACAGGAATATGTGCCAGCCTTGGTGGGCCTGGGGGTGTTGTTTAATGAAGGGCACAAGGACAGGAGCTGAGGTCAGGCTTTCCCCACAGCACTGCTCTCCTTTAACTGATGAAAGAGGGCAAATCCCTGGCATTTTTCAGCCCTCTCTCTCTTTCTCTTACCTTCCTTCCATGTTCAGGATGCACATCAGCTCATCCTCAAAGAAGTGACTGGGGCACCCCAGAGTCTCAATGTCACTGAATCCATCACAGGGGACCTGTGGGGCCACACAGGGGGTTAAGCAGAGCACAGCAGATTCCTCCCAGCAGGACAGAACTGCAGAAAAAAGTCTCAACCCCAGTTCTGGCCTGGTTTTTTTCAAATCCAGGCAAGACCTTAAAAATGTCCAGCTCACCAAATACTCACAGTCTGTACTCCATGGATTTATTACAAGGATCCACTGAGAGCCTTGGTAACATCCTACAGCAATTTGAGCCAAATTCTACAGCATTTGGGGCTCCTAGGGGGGGTTAAGGACCAGCACAAGCAAATCTCATCTCATGCAGTAATTTTAAGGTGGAATCAACTTTTGCCTGTGGTTGGTTGAACCTCAGTGCCTAAGATTAATCCTGGGGGAAGGAATGAAGAGGCAGGAGCCTTTATTTTTTGAATCAACCACTTAAGCATCTATATTAAGAACAGCTATTTTCTTCCAGAATTCAGAATTATTTTTAAAGTTTCTGGTTGAACTACAAAAAAACTCATTTCTCGGTATAAGACACGGGCTGAAAGTCTCTCTTCCTCTCAGTTCTAGGCAGGGAATCAAGCTGCAGTTTCTTGCCCCACAGGAGATGATTCTCATTATCAGGCCTTTGGGTATTGCTTAATGGTCTCTCAGAAGTCTTTGCATACATGATTAAAAGAACAGCAATCCAGGAGCTGCTTTTCCCAGTTAATGCTCTGACAATTCTCCACGGACAGATGTGTGTCTGCTGCACCTACAGTGGGAGAGAACAGCCAAGAGACACCAAATACCCCACTGGCCCCACAGCCACCTTCTCCAGGAGAGACACTACCTGCCAACCCTTGCTGAAAGTCAGGGGAGAGAATTCCAACACAGGTCTCCTGTATCTGACAGGAATTTTCTACTGGACCACGATATTTTTGCACAGGAGATACAGAGGGGTGGCTGCTTAGCGGCTCTGGTGTGAACTTTTAAATTCAGCCACATTTCCAGGCAGCATTTATGCTTATTTCACAGAATTTCAGGCTGACCCAACTGTACAACTTGCCCAGAATCCACAGCCACCAACCAAGCAAACAGACAATGAAATACCTGCTGCTCCACGGGCGAGTCAGTCTCCCCAAGACACCACATTCCCACCTTTTTCCCACTGAACACAAAAGCATCTCGGTGTCATGGCTGGGTGAAGAACCTCAATAACACCCTTTCCAATTCAGTGACCCTGTTGTGCCTTGCCCCTGCTTCCAAATGCCTTGTGACAGCTCCCAGAACACAGCCCTGCTCAGGGTCTGCACTGAGGAATTCAGGGGCTGTGCTGCGTGTCAACAAACCACCCCGGCCTTCAGAAGTCCCCAGAGCTGGGTCTGAACACACAGACGTGAGCAGAGAGTTTTTAAAGCTGAAAATGCAATCAGAGAACGTGTGTTGGACCTTTGGATTTTGACCTCTCTCCCCTGTTGGCTGTGGATTAGCATTTGCACACAAACTGACTGCACAGTTAAGATGATGTGAAGAGAGAGACAAGATAAACTGAGAAAAAGTATGGATTAAAATCAAGGAAGTGTAATCTTTGAATAATCCTGAGCTGGAAGGGATCCACAAGGATCATCCAGTCCAACTCCTGGCCCTGCATAGACATCCCAAAAATCCCACCCTGTCCCTGAGAGCTTTGTCCAAACCCTCCTGGAGCTCTGGCAGCCTTGGGGCTGTGCCCACTGCCCTGGGGAGCCTGGTCAGTGCCCCTTTTCCTAATAATAACAATAACAATAATTTTTAAAAGGCAAAACCACCTGAGAAATAAATACCTTTTGAATGGCTTAAGAACTTTTTAAGAACACAACCTCCTGACACGAAAGCTCAGCCGCTCTTGAGGAAACAGCCTCAAGCTGCACCAGGGGAGGTTTAGGTCGGGTATTAGGGAAAATTTCCTCACTGAAAGGGTTGCCAAGCACTGGAACAAGCTGCTCAGGGATGTGGTGGAATCACTGTCCTTGGAAGCGTTCACAGAATCTGCAGATGTGGCACCTGGGGACGTGGTTCAGTGGTGGACGTGGCAGTGCTGGATTAGCGGTCAGACCTGATGATCTTAGAGGGCTTTTCCCACCTTAATGATCCCATTAACGATTCTAATAATGATTCTAACCAAACAAGTGGCCAGGCTGTTGCACAGACACACGGAGGACTCACGTGTTCTGAGAAGAACCTTTTGGAGAACGAAGCCACGATTCTCTGGGCCTCCAGCCCCGCGTTGTGCCGCGCCTTGTACTCCTCCAGCCAGCTCACCCCGTCCGTGTGGCTGTAGTACTTCAGCAGGGATGGCCACCTACCCCAGGAGACACAAAGGAACAGGAGCATTAGGATTTCACAGCCCTGAGAGCCCCCAGAGCTGTAAAATGCTGTTTATTGTAACCACTGAGACACCGCCCAGCTTTAAAGGTAATTGTGTAAAACCCACCCAAACATGGAAGCACAAACCCACCCATTGCAGCTTCGTGGTTATTTAAAAGTCAGATTTCCTAAAGCCTGCCAAGAGAAAGCCTTCAGAGGTTCACACGCCAGGGTTTCAGCATCTAAATATCCTAAATGCTTTAGCTGGATAATTAAAAGAGTTCAGCACAAAGAAGTATCCCATGTCAGCCAACTTGGCACCAAACACTGTCCTGTGTTCCTGCTACCACCTCGGGGTCTAATTAAAAGGCTGCACAAAACAGAGCTCCCTCCACTGCCCTTGCTGGTGGCAACATCTACTGGAGGAAAACAGAACCCTGCAGTCAAACCCCGACAGCAGAATGCTTTTCCAGTTCATTTTTGGCACAATAAATAATTATTTTTAAAAAAACCTCGCAGCTTTCTTGTAAAAAAACCTCCCCGACCCGCTTTACTGAGTCTAAAAGTCCAAAAACTTAAGACACTTTATTAAGAATTTCAAGGTTCAGCTCAAAACCTAACTTCAGGTCGTGTTTTGGGGGCTGTCAGCAGCACCTTTTCTAACAAAGTGGGTGTGCCATAAAATATGTGCCAGCACAGCAATTCCCAAGGCTGCTGTGAAGACTCCAAGACCACTTGTGCGAGAAATATGGGGAAGAATCAGCACAGACGAAAACATTTTGGAAATAAAGCTGAGAGAAAGGTCTCTTGCAATTCACTGGGACTTTTATTTCATGTTTTGAAATTCTGTTAATTATTACTGGTTTATATAAAACATTTTCCTTCAGTCACAGGGACTGCCTCGATTTTTTTTTCAGGTTCTATCTATCTATCTATCTTTATTTATTTATTTATTTATTTTAATAAATAGAGCTGTTTAAATCACTATCACTAAATTACCTGAGGTTCTTTCCAGATTACATATATATTTACTTGGATAAATAGAGAGAAGGCCAAATATTTAAATCACTACTCTTGTATAAAAATTATATTACCAGTGACCAAAATGCACAGGTGGGTTTGACCACACATGGAAGATATTTCACTGCCAGTTAATAATTAAACTGTCCTGCAATTGCCTTTAAAAAATAAAGTCAAATAACCTCAAATTATATAACAACCCAAATCCCTGGCCTCTCCTTTACTGCTGAAACGCAGCCACCCCACAATAACCATCACAATCCTTTATTTTGGGATGAGAAAGGGTAATTTCTTGGGTTGAAATGATATTGGGAATTTTAGGAAGATGAAGTGCAACTGCTCATGCTGAAATCCGGCCAGGACAACAAGGTCAACGTGCAACCTCCTGCCAAAAGTCCCATTACCAAGGAGAGAGGAGGAGAGCAGAGTGTGCTAATCACCCACCACATCCCATTCCAGCTGCTGGATCCCAACCAGTGCTGAACTCCCAGAAAACACAGCCACTGAATCGGTGAAAGTCAACCCCAAGCCACGGTCTGGTGAGCTGGGGAAGCTGTAATTGTTCAATAGGCCTTTTTCACCCGTGAAAAGAGAATAATCCTCTCATTTGGGCCATGCTACGTTTCAGAAGCCAAGTGGCAATTAGAGAAAGCAATTTGCCTACTTTTCCCGTGCCAGAGCAGACCAAAAAAAGCAGGTAACAGATGAGAAAGTTCTATCCTAGAGAGGCTGGAGGCCACAGCGATGAGTGGTGGTGCCTCCAGGACTGCTGAAAGCAGCAGAGTGTCAGCAGTGTTATCCCCCTGCTTCATTCCCAGCCAAAATGTGAGCAGCTTCAGGGATTACAACACGGTTTTGCCCCCACCAGGCACCCTGTGAGTGCCCCTGGGCGAGACGGAACTCGGCAGCAGCAGAAGTCCACCCCAAGGATTTTGGTACCCGTGGAAACAGTTCTTCTCAAAGCACCACAAATAAACACCTTTCTGCTGTAAAGGATTAGTCCCGTGACAGGGCAGGTGCTGGAAGATGTTCTGGAAGGCGCTGTCGGGGTCAGGGAGGCCAAGCCACAACTCCAGAGCACGTGGATCTGATCTGTGTCACTGGCTGGATCTGGGGAGTGCAGGATCCCGGGGGGTGGAAGGGGCTGCAGGACTGATCTCTAGCGAAGAGCTGGCAGGACAGACCTCCTGCAAGCAGCAGGCACAGCCCGCGGGATTTCGGAGGGGAGGCAGCCCTGTAAAGCCCTTTTACAAGTGCGGAAGGACAGCTGTGGCTGCCTCATCCCTGGAAGCATTCCAGGTGCGATAAACTTGGAGCAGCCTGGCCTAGCGGAAGGTGTCCCTGCCCACGGCAGAGGGGGATGGAACTGGATGATCTTTACGGCCCCTTCCCACCCAAAGCGCTCCACGATTTCACCCCGAACGCCGCGGGGCTTGTCCGGCCCCTGAGGGGCTGCCCGCGCACCCGCTGGAGCCGGAAGCGAACACGGGGATGGGGAGCTGGGGCTGCACCTCCACCCCCCGCCCGATCACCGTCGGCTTTCCCAGGCCCGGGAGGCGCGGGCACCACCCGCAGCTCCCCGAGCCCCCGGCGGGTCCCCCCCTCTGCCCTGCCCTGCCCAGCGAGCCCCGGCGGGCCGGGCCGGGCCCGCGGTGCGCACCTGAGGCGGAAGCGCTCCGCCACACCTTCCCGCGGGGCTGGCACGCCTCGCGCAGCCCGCGGCAGGTGCAGGACACGCGGCCGATGGTCGGCGGCGCCCAGCACGTCGCAGCAGAGATGAGCTCCAGCAGCTCGCCCGGCAGGTCCGTGAGGCCCGTCCCGCCGCGCCGGGCCCCGCCGGGCCCGCGCCCTGCGCCGCCGCCATCTTGGCTTGTTTACCTGCGGTCACTGGGGCCGCGCGGCGCTTCCGGGGAGGGGCGGCCCGGGGCTGCGGCCACACGGGGCGGGGAAGCGGGAGAGCGGGCAGGGAGTGAGGGACGGGGACGGGGGAGAGAGCGGGGAGAGTCTGACAGGGACGGCGTGAGGGGAGAAGAGCGGGCAGGGAGCGAGGGACGGGGAGCGGGGAGAGAGCGGGGAGAGTCTGACAGGGACAGCGTGAGGGGAGAGAGCCGGCAGGGAGCTAGGGAACGGGGAGCGGGGACGGGGAGAGAGCGGGAGAGTCTGACAGGGACAGCGTGAGGGGAGCGGGCGGGACGAGGACGGGACGGGTGAGAGGGCGGGGAGAGGTCTGACGGCGCGTGAGGGAGAGACGGGCCGAGCGGGGACGGGGACGGGGAGCGGAAGAGAGCGGGGAGAGAGCGGGGAGAGTCCTGACAGGGACAGTGTGAGGGGAGAGAGCGGGCAGGGAGCGGGGAGGGGAAGGGGGAGAGAGCGGGGAGAGTCTCTGACAGGGACGGCGTGAGGGGAGAGAGCGGGGAGGGAGCGAGTGACGGGGACGGGGTGAGGGAGCGGGGAGAGACCCTCTGACAGGGACGGGGTGAGCGGGGAGAGAGCGAGTAACAGGGACGGCGTGAGGGACGAGATGAGGGGAGGGAGCCGGGAGGGAGCCTCGGACAGGGACAGGGACAGAGGAGAGAGCGGAGAGGGAGCGAGTGACAGGGAGAGGGTGAGGGACGGGATGAGGGGAGGGAGCCGGGAGGGAGCCTCTGACAGGGACGGGGACACGGGAGAGAGCGAATGACAGGGACGGGGTGAGAGGGGAACTCGGCGGGGTGTGTAAATATTAATAGAGACCTCATCGATGTGTATAAATGTCTAATAGAGACCTCATAAGTGTGTGTGTGTGTGTGTGAATGTCTGAAGGGGGACCTCGTCAAGGTGTGTGGACGTCTAATAGAGACCTCGTCGGTGTGTGTAAATGTCTAAAGGGGGACCTCAACACTGTGTGTAAATGTATAAATAGAGACCTCATCAATGTGTGTGAATGTCTAAAAGGAGACCTCGTCAATGTGTATCGATATCTAAAGGGGGACTTCAACAATGGGTGTAAATGTCTGAAGGGGGACCTCGTCACTGGGTGTAAATACCTAAAGTGGGTGTCCGGAGGGGATGTCATCAATGTATATAAATATCAAAAGGGGGACGTCATCCATGTGTATTAATATTTAAAGGGGAACCTTGTCAGTGTGTGTAAATATCTAAATAGAGACCTCATCAATGTGTATCAATATCTAAAGGGGGACCTCATCAATGTGTATCAATATCTAAAGGGGGCTTCCAAGAGGGGACCTTATCAATGTGTATAAACATCAAAAGGGAGGTGCCAAAACGGGACCTCGTTGATGTGAATCAATATCTAAAAAGGGGACCTTATCAATGTGTATAAATATTGAAAGAGGGACCTCATTAAGGGGGGGTGGCTCATCAATGTGTATCGATATCTAAAGGGGAGTTCCAAGACAGGACCTCATCAGTGTGTATCCTATAATTCTGTAAGAAGATGGATCCAGGCTCTGCTCTATTGTGCCAACCACGAGGACAAGAAGCAGCGGGCAGAAACTGCTGCCCAGGAAGTTCTACCTGAACATGAGGACAACTTACTCCCTGTGCAGTGACCACACACTGGAACAGGTTGCCCAGAGAGGGTGTGGAGTCTCCCTCACTGGAGATATTCCAGAACCGTCTGGACACAGTCCTGTACAATGTGCTCTGGGATGACCCTGCTCGAGCAGGGAGGTTGGACCAGATGACCCACTGTGGTCCCTTCCAGCCTGGACCAGTCTGGGGTCCTGACAAGTGCCCCAGTGTCTTGGGGGGGGACAGAGAGGAGGCCTTGGCTGAGGGCATTCTGCTGCCCTGTGTGTGGTGGCACCTGAGGTCACACCACCTCCACGTCTGCACTGACCCCTGAGATATCGTCACCTCCATGTCTGCACTGACCCCTGAGATATTGTCACTTCTGTGTCTGCAGTGACACCTGAGGGGATACTGCCACCATATCTGCACTGATACCTGAGGTCACACCACCTCTGTGTCTGCACTGACCCCTGAGGTGATGCCACTTCAGTGTCTGCAGCAGTATCTGAGGTAATGTCATCTCAAGTGTCTGCACTAACACTTCAGGTAATGCCACCTCTATGTCTATAGTGACACCTGAGGTGACACCACCTGAGTGTCTGCAATGACACCTGAGGTGACACACCTCAATGTCTGCACTGACCCCTGAGGTGACACCACCTGAGTGTCTGCAATGACACCTGAGGTGACACCACCTGAGTGTCTGCACTGACCCCTGAGGTGACACACCTCTATGTCTGCACTGACCCCTGAGGTAATGCCACCGTTGTGTCTGTGGCAGCACATCTGTGGGGACTGAGGTAACACAGCACGGTGTGTGGGGTGGCACCGAGGTGCCTGCTGCTGGATCCAGGGTGGCAGCATGGCAAGGCTGAGCAACAGCAGCAGTGCTGTGGTGATGTCTGAGGTGACACGGCTGCCGTGCCTCAGGGGACACCAGCACTGCCTGCGGTCACACCGCTGCCATGTCTGAGGTGGCACTGACGCCATCTGAGGTGACACCACAGCAACCTCTGAGGTGGCACTGCAGCCCTGTCTGAGGTGACACCACAGCAATCTCTGAGGTGGCACTGCAGCTCTGTCTGAGGCAACACAGCAGCCGTGTTCCCCTCAGGCCAGCTCCTCACCACCCTCACAGGGAAGGGTTCCTTCCCAATATCCCATCTAACCCTGCCCTCTGGCAGTGGGAAGCCGTTCCCCCTTGCCCTATTACCATCTGCCCATGTAAAAAATCGCTCTCCCTATTTTTTATAACCCCCCTTCCAGCACTGGAAGGTTCCCCCTTGGAAGTGCACACTGCCTTCCCATGGGAAAAGCCATGTCCATACTTCCTCATTCACATCCTGCCATTCCCAGGTCTCTCCAGTGCTGCCTGGAGCGCTGCTGCTGCTGCATTCCAGAGGCTCCAGCACCAAAATTGCTCTGGATTGCACACAAAGAGCCTTCTGTGCTTGCCTGTGACATTTTCCCCGAGGACATGGTCTAAATGATGTGAAACATGGAGTGCTGTGACTCAAGCAGCCTTCCAAGGAGGTGTTTGTGTCTGGCAGGTAAACAGGTATCGCTGATTGACGCCACCGAGCTATTTATAGTGCTCTGGCATTACAGGTGGCAGAGCAGAGCAAGGCCAAGGGATCAGCAGAGGCCTTTCCATGCTAAAAACCCAGAGATAAGAGAAGAACGAGGTCTGTTAGGTTTTAGTTCACTTTTTTATTTGGACTGTAATGCAAACAGGCATAAGTATTCCATAAAATCAGAAGATTGGAACTATACAGAAAGAGGTGCATGCTTCAGAACAATGTGGATATCTTGCAAACAGAGGCAGAGTCAGTCCGAGAGAGGGGCTGGAGTACATTGGACGAATGGCAGAGATTTTAGCAGCATTGAGAGCTCAGAGGTAGGGGAAGACCACGTTTCTGACCACGCTTAAAGCACTGCTATGACCAAACACAAGGTGGCTCAGCCCGCTCCCACCGCCCCCACCCCCTCGCTCCTCAGGGGAAACCCACCTTGGCACCACACAAAAAGCTGCAGAATAAGCTGCCCCCCTCCCCTCCACACGTAACCTGTCGTATGGGATGCAAAGTGAGAGGAAAGACGACGTGCCAGTCCTAAATCATGGCATCGTTTCATAAACCGAACGAAGGCACAGTGACATGAGGAGGTGCTGAGGGGAGGGAGGAGGGAGCGGGAGGACCAGAGAGCAGCCAGGGGTTGGAGTCTCATCCAGCCCAGCAGAATTTACCCATGTCTGAGGAGTTCAGAAAACCTCTGCAACAGAAATTTTGGGAGTTGCCTGCTCCGAAGCCGCCACCCTTCCCAGAGCAGTCCCCGTCCTCGTCGTGGCACCGCCGCTCTTCGGGAGAAGGCCACCAGGAAATCAAAGAATCCAAACCAACCTTTGAGTCTTAGGCCTTTCAAAGGTGCCTAAGGGAGCCGAGGGAATAAACCCCCTGCTCCTATTACAGAAATTAATTGGCACTGAATATCGAATTCCCTGGGCAGCTGGCAGAACTCATGTTTCTAACTACATGCAATCTAAAAAGCAATGAGTCCTGGCTGAAAGTCATCTCACTGCTCACTCTCACTGCCTGGGGAATTGTGTGCACTCTGGAAAAGCTGCAGACCACTCACAAGCTCTTTACAGCACACAGAGCCCAGGGTTTTTAAAGGCATCTCAAGGCAGCAGAATGGGGATTCAACCTCGGGAATTGTGGGGATTTGCCTATTTTGCAGAACTCTAGCAAAGCAGGGATTTTGCATTGAATCTCACTGGCTTCAAAGCCATCGTTTCAATGCTGGAGATTCTGAAACACCGTCTTCTATTTCTGTTTCTCGGCTACTGTAAAGTGTATTTTGTTCAGACGTGATTCCATGCCACGATCACACAGAGAGGAAAATAAAAAAGCAGGCTCAGAAGCAAGTAGCATTAACGTCTCAGAAGATTAAGGCCGTTTTGTTGCCCTTGGAAAATTTTGAAATCTCCCTTAGCAATTACTGTAGGAGCAAAACATTTGATTTAATCCGAAACAAGCTGACATACTGTCTGCTTGCTTTCTGCCTGCTTCCCCCACCCAGAACCAACACGTGAAAACAAAGCAACAAGCTCTTTCAGACCAACTGTTTCGGTGTTCAGTCTTTCAGTTTTCGAAGTATTAGGGATGCCCCTGGAAGAAAAATATTTTGCCCGATGTTTTTCCCTCGCGGGTTTCTGCACCAGCCCTGCAGAGACCTGTGCACAGGAGCTGAGCGACGGCCCAGCAGCGTGTTCCTGCTTTTCCACAGCCCTGCTAAACCAGGGATTCTCAGGGCAAGGCTCACAGGTCTGACTTTCTCACTTTGAGGTGCTTCCTCCCTGCTCCCTCCCCAAAATCTGGCCAGGTAGGACGTGAATAAGGCAGGAGAGCAGCAGTGAGACTCTCACTGCTAAACAAGCTGCCACTGCTCAGCCATGAACTCACAATCTGTTTGAGTTTGGTTGTTTTTTTTTTTCCCCCTGTGATTCAGTGGCTCAAAATTCCATCACAGCCAAACATCTGTAGGGGTGGAGGCCAAGAGTTTCCAGTCTACTTCATTCTGGGTACAGCAGGGAAAAGGTGGATCTCATCACAATGCCTGAATATTTCAGGAGTTACCTGTGCTAAAATCAAGCCGGTTTTGACCCCTCCTAAGCTCTGTTTTACTTCTGGAACCGAGTGCTTTAAAGCAGCCCCCCCTCTTCAGCTTTCCCCCACTGCCCTGATTCCCTATAAAACAGGCAGGGCCATATGGAAGAAGCTGGAGCTCAGATCTCCCTCGGAGGGTAGATTTCGGATGGATTGCCAGAGCCATGCATTGCAGGCACGTGCAAGTGCAGATTGACACAGCAAAAATATTGCCATCATAAAACTGCTGCTGCTGCTGCTGCTGCTGCTGTGCAAGCCTGACCCTGCAAGCTGCCCAAATCCCCAGGGCCACTGAAGCCAGTGGGTGTGGAAGGCATTTTGGACCTGGGAGGACGTGGATCCTACACTGATTTTGTCCAAGTTTCAGGAATACGTTTTTTTAAGAGCACTGGCCGAATTTTGCTCTTCCTGTTACAGCAGAAGAAATTGTTATAACAAAGAGAGTTATGGTAAAGTTGAATGGTCCTGAAAATGTGCCTCCATCTGTTCTGCAAAGGGACTGTGCTCCCCTCTGGAACTATCAACGCAATTGCAAAGTTATCTGAAGCAATTCTGAAGCTGGGAACTGGTCCCCGGTGAAAGAAGGAACAAAATTTAATTTTGAGCATAAAATTATCCTTCCAAAAAACGGTGGGAGCCCCCGGAGGGCGATGTAGTGGCTTCAGTGGTCGTATGTCAGGCGGCAGCAGCTTTGGCTTGGGCTTAGTGCAAGTCCACGAAGCTTCAAACACAGACACACCGTCTCCCCCACCAGCAGCTTGACCGAAACGGGGTCCCCGGGACGTGGAAGGTGTTCACAGACCCGCGGTGCTCACAGGTGGTGCTCAGTCTGCACCCACACCTCCCCAGCCCTGCGAGAGGAGCTGCAGAGAGCAGCTGAGCAGGGCTGCAGGTTTGCTCCCTGTGATCCCAGGGGGAATTTGCCCACCGGGAATTTCCCTTGTCAAACGAAGCCGGAGGGTGGGAGCAGGAGGGCGGCCCCGCAGTAAGAGTCTCTTCCCAGCACAAGGCACTGTAAGTCCGTGTCCGTTCCCAGGAGCTGCCCCTGCCCAGCAGCTGCCTGCACCTTTTGGCTGGGCAGGCAGGGCTGAGGAGGAGAAGGGCGGGATCTCCAGAGGGAAGTGGCAGAGGGAGCCTGGTTGCAGCCGGGATGGGGTGGGAGGCGTCGCACTCTGACAGCAAAGGGACCGCGGGAGCAATCACAGGCTGGACACGGGGCCGTGCAGCCCCTGGCTCTTCCCATCTCCTCTCCTGCAGCAGCTGTGCTCCTCCTCGCTCAGGACACAACCGCAGGGTCGCTGGTCACGCACAGACACGGTGGCTCGGGGGGTGGACAGTGCCCTGCTCACCCCTGGGGACACACAGGCGCGGGAGGGCACAGGGAGCGAGGACAGCCCAAAGTCAGAGCCGTTTCTCTGGCCAGTGTGACGGGCTCAGTTCCTCACGTGGGACGAGCTCAGGCCTTCACAGCCACAGCTGTGGAGGTGACATCTCTGTGAGGCCACTCCTGATGGCAGACATCTCATTATTTTCCTGCTGTCTCTCATAAACAGAAGAACAACAAACTCCCAGGCCGTCCTTCTGGGCAGATGAAACATTTGAATTTCATCAACAGCACAGGCACCAGATACCCTTGCACTGAAGGAGCAACTGATTTTTGCCTGCTAGTGGACACAGCAGGCTGGGAAAACACAGAACCTTTTCCCAGGAGTTTTCAAGTCCATATAACACCTTTCTGTGGACGATCTGCAAGATCCATGAATTAAAACCTTTGCAGAAAAAAACCACTTCATAGCATCTTGCAAATCAAATCTCCTGTTTAGAGAAGAGTCTCTTCAGTACCTGGGGAGTGAAAAGGAGCAGAGCTGCTCCAAAAGGGGTGGTGGTGGTGGATATCCACCAGGAGAGGGACTGGGACACTGGGTCAGGCTGGGTGTCCATCAGGTGCCCTTGCCACTGGAGCCCTGGGGGGCTGTGCAGGAGCTTGGATGGGCAGCAGGCACCTGGAGGTGACAGATTTGTGAGCTGAGCGCCCAAGGGGCACAGGCCCTCCACGTGTGACACCCCTGAGCAGCTCATCTGTGGCAGACCCCACCTCACCCTCTGCATTTATTCATGCCAGAGACATTGTGGCTACACCCACACGTCAGAAATGTCACATGGAGATGAGCAGAGTCCAGACAACTGGTGGAAGAGCCACATTTATGGAATAATAAAGCAGAGCCACAAGTTTCTTTCCCCCTGTGTTGCAGGAGAAAATGAAGCTCGAGGGGAGTGCGAAGCCCCCGCAGGCAAAGGGGATGGAGGAGAGAAATTCAGACGTCTGAGACTGACTCGACAGAAAACAGGGAATCAGAATTCCCAGTGTGGCTTGCGAGGACTGAATGGTCCTATTCAGTGGGAGCAGAGAGGAGCCCTGGGGGACATAAACTCCATGGACCTTCATGGCAGGGATGGTGTTTCTCCTCCAGGGCCAGGCAGGGAGCATGGCCTTAAAATATGTTTATTAATTCCCTTCCAAAGGGCTCTGAAGGACTCACCAACCCAATGCCTGTTGAATGTGGGAGGGTTTTGCCATCTGCCTGGCACAGACCCCTTTGGAGACCCCACAGAAGGCAAGGCAAGGCACACAGTTCCCTGCTGTGCACCAGCAGCTCAGGTGGAAGGGGGTGATGGAGGTGGCAAGTTTTGGGGTGCAGGAAAAGCAAGCCCGTTCAGCTCAGACACAGCACCCAGCAGCGACACGATTTCCAGGTGGGAGATGTTACAGCCATGCAGGCAGAAGGCAGGACAGGAGGAAACTACTTGCCAGCAACACAGGGAGAGCTGGAAAGAGGATGAAGACAAGGGAATTCCTTTGGGCACTCCCTCCTCCTCAGGCTGCACTGCTCCTTCTACCCAAGGAGGCCCAGAGCACAAAGCCCAGAGCCAGAATCGAATTTCCCCAAAGAAGAGGATGAGTTTGATTTTATTCCTTTAGCTGTGTTTCTGCAGCCATAGGGTCGGGGGGCAGGACCAGGCTCTGGGGCCTGGGAGCTGTCCCCATAAACAGTTCCTCTGCCCAAACTCCCCCGTCCCAGCAGCAGAGGGACCCAGCAAAGGGACCCCCATCCCACTGCCCGCCCTGGCTTTAGGGCACAACCCAGAGAGGTGCACCCTGGGCTGCCCTTTTCCCTGCCCTGCCCTGCCTTCACCCCCAGGTCACCGAGTGCCCGGGGGGGCTGACACAAAAGCTGGCTGTGCCCCTGGCTCCTTGCCCTGCTGCCAGCCCTGCCACCCGGCCGAGCTCCGCCCTCTGGCACACGTGGCAAGCATTCCTTCGTGTTCCGTGCCGGGACCAGCAAAAACGAGGCCTGCATCTCAAATCCTCCCGCTGCCGGGAGGCTTTTCGCTCCCGGATTTTGGGCTGGAGTTCCTTCAAGCATTCAGGGAGTCGAAGCTGCAGAAGACGGTCACGGCACGTGGAGATGCAGCCAGGCAAGAGGAAGGAGAGGGCAGGAGGTCTTGGATGAGGGTGGGAATAACTGCACAGCCCCGAGGCTGGGGAGCCAGCACGGCTTGTTCCGTGGGCTGGGAGAGCAGCAAACCTCCTGCAGCTGTTTTTTGGCTTAGGGCAGACAATCTCAGCCCCCTGAAAGCGAGCTCACCAGTGCAGCTCCCGGACAAAGCCTCTGCCGTGGCCGGTTTTGATGCTTCGCTCCGTGCAAGCCTCAGTGCAAGCCTCAGTGCACAGCTCAGCAGAGCAGGGGCAGGGGGAAAGGACCAGCACCTGCCACCTCCAAATGCCAACCTCCTCTCCCTGCCTCCAGCCAGAGCTGCAGCCACGTCCTGCTGTCCTTGTCCTGGCAGTGAGGGAGGACAAACCTTCTTCGGGGTGCGGAAGAGAGGAGGAGGAAGGACACACAAGGTCGCACGTGCTTTACCTCGCAGGCAGCTCTCCCCTGTTAAAGGGACTGATACCTCTCCGTGTTAACAGCTTGCTTTTGGGGCCAGGTTTTTGCAGCAGGGCTGAAGTGTGAGGGTGTCAGAGCCCAGAATCACACAGCACCTTTGCAGCTGACCTCACCTCCCTTCTCACAGGAGATGTCCTGGCAGAGACAGCTCGTGCTCCCGCCGAGGGGACTGGTTCACCACAGGGATGCCACATGGATTTCTCTTGGCAGGAGGTCGCTCCACACTGGCGTTTTCTGCTCCCAAAGCTGTGGAAGTGGCTGGGGTCTGCTGTGCCAGGACTGCCCATGGCACTGTGCTAAGGTGGAGCTGATGCTCTCCGGGGTTTCAAGACTCCTCCGTTGGCACATCCTCACCAAGGACCTGGAGCCTCCACAACCCTCCGTGTGCTGCCTTCCCAATAAGCTTTGTAACAAGAGGTGCCTCTTGCAGCTGGAGTTGGAGACGCTTCTCTCCCATCCTCATGGCTTTCCAGGCTCACCTGGGAGAGGGTTCACAGCATGCAAAGTTCTGGAATGCAGCCCAGTCTCAATCTCTCCCACCAGCATCGTGGCTGCAGATCCCATATCTCCTGTGAAACCCTCTGGAGAACAGCCTGGCCCAGCAGCAGTCACTGCCACGAGCTTTTCCTCAGCATGCACATCAGCCTGTGTGTTCTGTGCTTGCTCCTCTGGGGGAGGACTTTCATGCCAGCAAAAGTGGGGACTGAGCAGAGGGAGAGGCTCACAGGGAACAGGGAGCAGAGAAAGGGGCAAACACAGCACAGAGCCCACTTAGGAGAAATCATGACACATAAATCCTGACACAAACAGACACATCTGTACCCAGGCTGCTTGGGGGGGAACAACATTCACAGGCACGAGGGCACTGCACATCATCTGCCCCCAGCCTCGGGCATATGTACAAGTCCAAAGGAAAGCCATGAAAACACGAGGATTCAGCCAAGCCCCGAGCTGGGGAAAGGGAGATCCTGGGGGGAACGACCCCCTGCTCTAGTCAAGCAACAGGACCGAGCCATTGCCTACCCCCTGCCACCTCTGCTCTCCCCCAAAACACCAAAAACGCGGGTGATCACGAAGGTGGTGATTTCATGCAGCTGCAAAATGCCCTCGTGAGGAGGAGGGGGAATGTGGAGATCTGTAAAGAGCCACTGCGGGTTATAAAGCCATCGTACTTCAGTGGGGAAATCCGGGGAAGGGAAAGGGGGATGAGGGGGGGGAGAAATGGCCACAGGACAAGAGCAAGAGAAAGAGGAAGAAAAGGAAATAAAAATCATCATCATCATCATCAGGACACAACAACAGGACGAGAGACAGAGCGCTTTCCATGGGCAGTTCCCCGTGGAAAAGGAGCCACCGTGTCCGTGAAATACAAAACCCAGTGCCCTCCAGCTGGAGGGGGCAGCAGGTGCTGGGACTGGTTTGGCATCCCCTTGGGGTGAAGGGTCCGGTTAGGAGCAGAAAACCCTGCAAGGGAAAGGGGAGAAAGGCCAGCCTCAGGGGGAGCAGTGAGGAGCACGGGAGCATCCCGACCTGGATGTGCCACAGGCAGGGGTTTACAGAGCCCTCTGCAGCTCCCTCTCTCAGGTGCTCTGTGTACAGTGCAGACCCCAAAGCATGTGATGCCTCGGGAGAAAAATTCCCACCAAACCTCAGGGATGTTGGGAAACCCAGAGCCAAGCTCTGGGTCAGGCTACTGAGGGCCAGCACAAGGAGCAAGATCCACTCAGCTGCCCATCCTTTATCCTAAATAATCCTTCTGCTCAGCCAGGGAAAATCCCACCACGGCAGAGCTGAGCAAATGGCAGGACATGGTAGAGCGGAAACAAACACAGCAAAATGTCAAGACTTTTTACTTCTTCTGGTTGTTTTTACAATAGCAGGAAGAAAAAAATCCCTAGATCTTTCCTAACCGGGTATGGAGCCTCCTGGAGACCTCTCCCACCTGCTGCATGGACACCTGGAGCCAGCCAGGTCCCCCCCTGGAGCTGGGGGGAGTCGCCCCTTCCCACGGATCTTTCCAGCCTGGAGGAAGGCAGCTTGGAAATTCCCTTTGGATAGGATGGTGTCTGAGCACTCAATGCAGTAACCCAGGAAGCCAGGGGGGGATTTGTCCTAGTGAGGTGACACCTATTTCAGAGACCCTATTTCAGGTGACTCCTATTTCAGAGCGCCAAAATCCATGCCTTTCTCAGGACCAGGGAGGCTAAGGAAGTTAAATCTTCCTTCCCCATCCCTTCCCAGTCCTGCAGCCCACGCACTTGGGAGGCCATTGCAGGGGTTAAAACAAACGTGTCAACTCACTCATCCGTGTCTTTTTTGCTCTCCTCGATGAAGGCGATGGACTCGGATCGAAGGCGGTTCGTCACTTCGTACGTACGCAGGGTGACTCCAAAAATATCCTCGTGGTACCGGCTGTCATCCTGAGGGACAGGGTGGCAGAGGGGGAAAAGGAGCATTTGCAAACAGCTGGTGTTGTTGCAGGCTCTGGTGTGGCGGGGAGGTGCCAAACACACGGCGAAGGGCCGGGGGTCTGTCACGGGAGGGGGTGGCATGGCAGGGCAGAGGGGCAGGAGTGAGCAGGGAGGGGGAATGACCTTGCCAAGGTCACAGTGTGGGGCAGCCCAGGAGCTGCTCCCTGTGTTAGATCTCCTCAGCTGTTGGCAGCCCAGGGACTGCCTGGCGTCAGGGGGACAAGCAGCCCAAAGCCAGCCCATGTACAACCAACTCTGGGATCCCTCAGCTCCTGGGTAGAGTGTGGGGACGTGGTTCAGAAGGGGTCATCCCACAGGAATCAGGCTGGATTATCTTCCTGAGCATCCATCCCTGGGCCTGTGTCCCAAACTGAGCTCGTCTGGGCTCCAGCTGCAACATCTGGGCAATGTGTTTGCCCAGGGACATCACCCTGCCAGCCACAGAGATGGGGAGATTTGGACAGGGGGCCCCACAAACTGCCCTGGTGGATGGGTGGGACAGAGGGACTTAGCACAGTGGTCTGTGACAGAGGGACTTAAAAGCAACCCTTGTTTGAAGGAGGGACTGATCAAGGTGAACAATCCCTGCCTGGGCTACCAAGGGTGCCCACAGGGTTCTGTCCCAGTGCCCAGCACAGCAACAGCTCATCCCAGGAGCCCAGCGTGGGCTGAGGGAGCTGCAGGGCTCCTGCAGAGCAACGAGACTTCCCCTGGGCACCCGAACTTCTGGGAGATCACCCTCCTGACCTCTCCCAGCCCTCGGCAGCGGGGGCAGGACCACAACCCCCCTTCCCAGTGCCCGTCAGGAGCAGGCAGGAGCAGGCAGCAGCTGCACTGCCCGTGGCAGGGGCCATGTGGGGTCTCACACACCGCTCACCCTCAGCTTGCTGATGAAGGCGCCCGCCTCCTCCACCGACAGCTGGCCCTGCTGCCTCACGATGCGCTGGACGGTCTTGAGGACGTCCCCGGCCATGGTGACATCCCCGCAGACGTAGATGTGGCCTCCCTGCTCCTTCAGCGCTTTGAACACCGTCTGGGCCAGCTGCTCCTGCAACACGTCCTGCACGTATTTCTGAGGGAGGAGGAGGGAGATGGGGTTGACTCCAGTTTCTCAGCCCTACCCACCCGTGGGCTCTGTGTGCACCAGGCGCCCTTGAGGCAGCAGTGCCAGGTGACACCTCTTTGGGGGAACGAGCCTGAGCCTCGCAGCACCCACAGGGACAGAAAAGAGATGGGGAAGGCGGCAGAGCATCGTCCTGCTCTTGCACGTTCACACCTTCACCATGTCTTTCCTGGCCAGGCCTGCTCAGGTGCCCGTGGGAATTCGGAGCAGGCTTTGCGCTGGCTCTGGGTGCTGTCACCCACCAGCTGACATCCCTCCTCGTCTGCTCCCACCCAGTGAGGATGGCTGCAGCCCCCCAGGGCAAAGCATGAGCAAGGTGGGCACACACTGGGGTGGTGCAGGGATGGGGGCGTGCCCTGGGAATGGGGCTGCACCGGGAAGGGACGATCCTGCACACTCATGGCATGAGCTACCAAGGCCGTGCCAAGGGATGGGCACCTGCCCCATGTGCTGGCTGGCCAGGGCCACCCAGGGCTGCCTGGCAGCACCGCAGCAGTGCCCACCACACACCTTTGGTTTGTCTGGCTCCCGGGAGTAGGCTGTGTACAGCTCTCTGAAGACACCTTGGGCTTTGGCAAAGAGCGTCTCCTCCTTGTAGATGTGGTCGATCCTGGACTGCCGGCAGCCAAACACCAGGACCATGGGACAAGGCTTCAGCCCTGGGGAGGATTGGAAGCAGGTAACCCAGGGATCACCGATCCCCAGGTTCTGGAAGCCACCTCCCTCCAGCAGATCCACTGGGACATCCCAGGCAGGAGACTGGACCCCTCCATCCCTCTGCCACCAGCCCAGGCTTCCCAAGCAGTGCCTGAGATGAGGTTCAGGAGGGACAAGCGTTGACCCACCTTTGTGCTGGATCTCAAAAAGCCGCTGCTGCCAGAAGCTGCGGAAAGGGGCAATGCCGGTGCCGGGGCCGATGAGGATGCAGGGCACCTGGGGGTCCTGGGGCAGGTGGAACCCGGGGGCACTGCACACACCAAAGACACTGGTTAAACCCAAGCTCCCTCCCTCGCCTCTGCCCACAGCCAGCTGAGACAGCACCCGGGCAGGGAGGGGTAGAAAATGAGGTGAAATCCCAGAGAGCAACATTTTAGCGCAGAACTGCACCCGAGGGCTTTTGCTCACAAATCCAGCCTTGTTTCCTCCCACCGTGAGAAGAATTGAGGGCAGACATCCCATCCTGCAAGGGGGCTCACCCAATCTTTCCCACCCCTTGTGGAACACTTACCCCCTTACAAAGCAGGGCACCACTTCATCGGGCTGTATCCGATTGAGCCAAGAGGAGCAGACTCCGTGGTGGATTGGCCCTTCTCCATCTGGGAGGGGAGGGAAGGAGGTCTGTACCTGATGGCACCAGCCAACAACTCCAGTTGTCCTCTTTCCTAAAACCCTCCCTGCCACATCCCACATGAGCACCTCACTGAGACAGTCAGTGTCTCTGCACCCATTCCCCTTGTAGAACTTGGTAGAACTGGCACTCAGATCTCTCTGTGAAGCTGCCCAAGTTCACCCAGAACCTGGGAGAGTTGGGCCTCCACAATATTTAGGAAGAACCCGACTCTTCTTTGGTCCTTTTTGGCAGGAGCAGCATTGTGCAGGAGCACCAGGGCCCTGCCCATCTACACCATCACCAGGGCTACTTGGGCAAGTACAGAAATTTTCCTAGGGGCAATGTGGACTTTGGGGTGGGCAAACAGGGCCCTACACAGAGTTTGGATTATGCACCTCACCCAGACACGGCACCTCTGGAATAAGCTGCCGTTTTATGGACGGTTGTTCTCCATAACATGGCACAGCTGTGCCATGAGCTGAGGGAATCTGGTCACTCCAACAGGTAGAAAAGCTTTAGATACCATCTCTCTACCAAAGGTTTTGTGCTGTTTCCCATGTGCCCAGCTCTGGGCCCCTCAGCTCAGGAAGGACATTGAGGGGCTGGAGCAGGTCCAGAGAAGAGCAACAAGGCTGGAGAAGGGACTCAAGCACAATTCCCATGAGGAGAGGCTGAGGGAGCTGGGGGGGGCTCAGCCTGGAGAGGAGGAGGCTCAGGGGAGACCTCCTCACTCTCCACAACTCCCTGACAGGAGGGGGGAGCCAAGTGGGGATTGGTCTCTTCTCCCAGGCAATGAGCAACAAGACAAGGGGGCTCGGTCTTCAGCTGTGCCAGGGGAGGTTTAGGTTGGATATTAGGAAGAATTTCTTTACAGAGAGGGTGCTCAGCCATTGGAATGGGCTGCCCAGGGAGGGGAAGGATTCTCTGTCCCTGGAGGTTTTTATGGTAAGACTGGATGTGGCATCAGTGCCATGGGCTGGGAACCACAGCAGGGTTGGATCAAGGGTTGGACTTGCTGATCTCTGAGGCCCCTTCCAACCCAGCTGATTCTATGATTCTATGATTCTATGATTCTATGATTCTATGATTCCATGATTCCATGTGCTGCTGCTCTGCCCCTGTCCCCCAGCCCGGTACCTCTGGTGCGGTAGGAGACCACGGCCACGGTGAGATGGACCTCGCCCGGGTACAGCTCTGGGGAGGAGCTGATGGAGTAGTAGCGTGGCTGGAGGAGGGGGAGCTGTGTGAGCAGCAGCGTGGAGGGCATCTGCACCGAGGGGAACTCCTCCAGCACCTCCACAATGGTGGGGTTCTTGGACCACTTCCACTCCTCGTACTCCTGCAGGCCCTGGAGAGAGGGAAGGAGGGAGGGAGGAGAGAGCTGCAGCATCCACCTCTTCCAAGCCAGGTGCCTCCACTGATATCCCACCAGACCCGTAGCAAAGGGTGGGTGGCAGTGAAGGCAGGGCAGGAGGAGCCCTGCTGCCATGGGTGGAGACTCAGCCTCACCAAACAGTGTGGGATGAAAATGCCCTGGGGTTGTCATTGTCCCTCAGGGCCTTGGAGAACATGGGGCTTGGGGTCCTTACCTTGCTGAGGACCTGCAGACGTTTCTTCTCCTTCTCACTGGTGGCCAACAAAGCAAACTGCTGCAGCAGCAGGGGCGTGGGAGGGGTGGTGATGTCCAAATAGTACTTAAAAGCCTGGAAGATGGTGCACGGTGGGACACGGTTCTCGTCTGTCCAGTTGCTGATGACACCTGCCAGGAGGGAATGCAGCACAAGCACGGGATCAGCACAAGAGCCAAGGTGGGCAAATCTCTGCTTTCATCCCCCATGTCAGCTCTGAGACAGTGGATTACTGTGTTCCAGCTCTGGTTACACTGTGCATGGCTGTGTCAGACTTATCCCCGAAATACAGCGTTGGGATGGTCCATCAACACCCCCTAACTCTTCTTTCCAGTCCTAGACATTGCTCTTTCTATGGAAATATAAACACCTTTAATTTTCCCAAGGAATAAGGAAATATCTTCCCCAGGGCCCTGCTCACCCTTCAAACCCTTTCTCTACATCCCAAGTGCAGAGGAGCCATGGCTCTGGGCAGAGGAAGGTTGAAGGAGGTGCTCCCAGTCCAGGAAAACACAACAGCAAGATGGGAAATGATTTCTCCTGGGGGCCACCCAGCACCCTGAGGAGCTGCTGCAGGAGCTGGGCGAGGAGGAGAGAGGCCACCCGTGCAGGAGGTGGCCCTGGTTACCTAGAGCCGGCGAGGAGGAGAGAGGCCACCCGTGCAGGAGGTGGCCCTGGTTACCTAGAGCCGGCGAGGAGGAGAGAGGCCACCCCGTGCAAGGAAGTGGCCCTGGTTACCTAAGAGCGCGTGCTCCTCTCCAGCAGCTTCCACCTTCACCAGCTGGTTGGCAGGAGGGCATCTTCAAGCCTGTCGATCAGAGGGCGTGACCAAGTCCTCGTGGTTCCTGGAAACACCCCCATGGTGTCCGGGGGCAGGTACTGGCAGCCCCGGTGCCCTCGGTGTGGCCAGGCCCGGCAGGAATGAATCGTCCAGGCGGCTGGGCAGGGAAAGGAGGGAAAGGAAGGTGAAGGGAGGGAAAGCAGGATTGTGTTTTGGGGGAGTCCCTGAGCTCTGGCCTCGCCAGAGCTGCTGGGCGTGCTGGGCACACTGGTGGCACGGCCAAGCGCGTGCCCCCCCGAGCGGTGTCCCCGCAAGGTCACAGCAAGGGAGAGGGGAGCGCTCAATCCGCCCCCCCGCTCCCCCCGCGCCGCTACTTCACCTCGGGGCTTTTCAAAAAGGGAAAAAAAAGACCAGTTTAAAACCTCTTGTTTCTGAGCAATTTGATCGTTTCTTTGGCTTCCCATCCCCCGGGGCTAATTGAGGCAGCAGCAGCAGCAGAGATTTAGCCGGGCACAGAGGCGGGGAACACCCCTCCCCGGCTTCACGTGGCTTCCAGCATTGCTCAGGGTTTGCACAGAGGTGGATTCCATGGGGCGTTCAGGGGTCAAGGTCAGCAGCACTGTGTGCACTGGTGCTTGGGTGCACCTCCAGGGTGTCCAGCTCCCAGGAGAGCTGCACTTCCTACCTGGACTTGGGGCTCTGCAGGTTCTGGCGCGTGATCAGCCGGGCTGCATAGACACGTTTTTTGTGGATGCTGTACAGTCCTGAGGAGGAGAAGTGTCAGGGAAGGAATTCAGCAGAGGCCTCTGGCTCTCGCAGGGCTGTTGGTCACTGCTGAGGGCTCAGCCCTTCAGACCAGTGCTGGCCACAGCCAGAGGACCACGGGCTCACCACCCTCCTGCTTGACCACCCAGCGAGCCTGGGGGATCAGAAAACCCCAGGGGACAACCAAACACGTGTCCCTTTTGTCAGTGACCCAGGAGGACTCTGAGACGCAGGGATGTGCCCTCACGTGCCCGCAGGCACCTCTCGCTGCCAGGGCCACCTGGCTGGCAGGGAAGAGCCTGGATTTGGGAAGAGCTGAGCAGCCAGTGCGGCAGATCCTCAGCTGCAGGAGCCGTGCTGAGGGGCCAGGTGTCGCTGGGCTGGACCTGCCACGGAGCGGCATTGGACGGAGAGAGCTTGGAAAGATCCCAGGTTTCCAGCTCCCTGGTTCAAAAAATGGGGTCAGGAGGAGGGAGATCAGATCATCTCCAAACATCTCTGTTACGGACACAGACAGGGACCAGCCAGAGGGGCCTGAGACCATCACAAGCTGCTCCCTGGGCGTGTGATGGCGGTGAAAGGCAGGGCTGAAATGCTGGGAATTTAACACAGAACAAGCAAGGAGGTTTGGCCCCTGTGCCCTCAGTAAAACCCACTGTGTCTCCTCCACCTGCCCCACCAGGTGACCCCATCTTCATACCCTGTGTGAGCTCTGGGGCCTCGGCCACGTAGGTCAGCCGAAACTTGCTCCTCTTCCAGCTGCGGTCGTTGCTGATGAGGGAGTTGTTTGCTTTCTCGATGTTGACATCGTCCCCCACGCAGAACACGTCACACGCTGCCTGCAGCACACACCAGGCTCTCAGGCATCCCCCCCTGCCTCTGGGGAGCCCCCTTGTCCCAGCCCACCCCTGCCAACCGAGGAGAAGGAGCCCCCAACATGCAGGGCTACACCAGTGGCCATGGGCGTGCCCTCCTTCCCCAAACATCTGGGATAACACAGGAATTCAACCCAGTGCTCACCCTCAGTGTGCAGCACAAACCAGAGCATCACCTCCACCAAAATATGGAGCATCCTGGGCTGGGGTGGTGCCAGAGCATCCCAGAGCAGGGAAGGAGAGGCTGGGTTTTGATCCAGCTCTGACCAGCAGTTGTGCTCTGTCCCTTTGTTCTTCTCCCCCCTGCTCCTCCCCGGGGCACCAGGGAAGCAGGTTTACCTTGAAGACCTTCTTGGCCCAGGTCCTGAAGGACTCCTCCTGGCCGCAGAGCTCGTCCCCCTCTCCCATGCGGAGGATCCTCTCCCCGCCCAGCTCCTCCAGGAGCGTGTCCACGGCCCGGGCGAAGGCGCAGAAGTGGGGGTAGGCACGTGAGCCCAGCCCAAACACAGAGAACCTGCGGAGAGGTGGCTCAGCTGTGGCTGCCCAGCTGGGGAGGGACACTGGCACCCCCCTCTCCTGCCCCACCGCCCCCCAGGCAGCGTGGAGGGGTCTGCAAGTGGCTAAAATACACCATGTGTGGGGTAAGAGCTGTGGGGGCAGACGGGCTCTGTGCAGCACCGGCTCCTGCTCTGTCCCTCCTGCAGCAGGAACTCCTGCCTCCCGCCCCGTCCCCTTTACCTGACGTTAGCCAGAGGCCCCGTGCTCTCAAAGTTGTCCCTGGAATCAGGGCCATCACTGGAGGATTTCCGAGCGTCCGAGTAAGAGGAGACGCTGTTGAAACGGACCTTGTAGCTCCTGTGAACAGCAACAACAGCCAGTGTTCCAGAGGTGACACCTGGGAGGGGTCCTCCCCGGGGACCAAATTGTGCAGGACACCCAGCCAGAGCTCAGGGTTCAATATTCCACATGCTCCCTCCCAGGGTCAGGCCACCCACGGTCAGCTCCATGAGGTCCTTGGCCACCCCATTGTCCCCAGTGGTGCAGAGCTGACAGGACCTTTGGCACCACCTGTCCTTCCCTGGCAGCACACAAGGTCGGGTGTATGTCTGAACAGATATTCTGAGGGTGTTTTTTTTTCATTCATGGGAAGTGGAAAATAAATTTAAAAGAAAAAAAAAAAAAGGAGCGAGAGAAGAAGGGATGAGGAGGGGGAAGGGGAGCGGAGGGAAAAAAAAATCTGACAACAGCAGAAGTATTTCTGAATCGAACCATCTTCAAAAATTGCTCTTCACAAGGGTTTCTAAATATACTGGCAGAGCAGCGAGGCTGTGGTGTGTGCATGAGTCACGGCAGACCTCCTGCACCCGGCACGGCATCACAGAGACAACCCTGGAGAGAAACCACTGCCAGGGTCACAGAGCCCTGGGCTCCAGGGCTGCTCCACAGCCTCCTCCTTCCTTCCTTCCCAGATTTCCACGCTTTCCTGCTTCACTCCACCTGCTTTGGTCCACTGCTTTCTCTGCTGTGCCCGTGTCCTGCCCCCGGGTCAGCCCAGGTTGTGTGGGGAGGGCAGAGCAGGGCAGCACAACCCACAGGGTGAGGTGGGCACAAAGCCCAGATTCCCCAGGGGGGTGCTGGGTCCAAGGTTGGGGCACCAGCAGCTTTTGCTGCAATGGGAAGGTCCCTGTGGTGGGAAATGACTGCTGAAGGATGAGCTGCATTGAGCAGCAGGTCCTTAAATAGGAATGGCTGATGAATGCCTCGGAAAACCCTTGGAAAACCCTTGCTGGAAGACATGAGGAATCAAATCTACAACCACAGCACAACCACAGGGCTGTGGTCAGAGAGCTATGGCCACAGTACCTTGGCAGGCTCCTCCAGACACTGGGATTTAGAGAGGCCACCCCACCCTGAGGGGTCTCAGCCACCCTCAGCATTCCCTGTTGGACACGGAGCTGGGAGTGGGCAGGAACTGCTCTCTCCAGTTCTATTCTACAGACTCCAGGCTGACACTGTCCCTCTTCCCCAGACAGTCTCCTCCAGGTCTCCTTTTCTCACTGCAAAAGCTTTTTTCCATGTTTAATATCAGCAAAGTCCTGGACATGGATTGGAGCAATCCCAGAGAAGCTGTGGCTGCCCCTGGATCCCTGGGAGTGTCCAAGGCCAGGCTGGACAGGGCTTGGAGCAACCTGGGCTAGTAGGAGGCGTCCCTGCTCATGGCAGGGGGTGGGACTGGATGAGCTTTAAGGTCCCTTCCCACTCAAACCATTCCATGATTCTGTGATCTCTTCCTGCCATCCAGAGCTGTGACCTCTTGGCCTGTCTTGCAGGGAGCACAGGCAGCAATTTATTCCCTCCACCTCTGCAGCCACCTTTTCCATCTACGAAATCTGCCACCTCACTCCATTTCTGCCTCCTTTCCTCCAGATAAAATAGCTCTCACCCTTTTGATCCGTCGCTGTTTCCAGCACTCTGCCCACTTTTGCTGTCAGGTAAGGGAGCCACAGGCTCTCCTGGCTCTTAGAAACTCCTGCCAGCCCTGAAATTACACTTAGAGGTGACTGGGACAACGAGCCCTGAGCTTTTTATAAACTGGGCTTTTTATCCTCCTCGAATCTGCCTGGCTCCTCACGGGCAGCACCGCCGCACCCAACCCGGTGTTGCACCCCAAAAAGTGAAGATCCTCGGGGTGAGGACCACGTGTGAAATGGTGCAGACACCTCCAGGGCATCCCTGTTTTGTCGGCTGTCCCCATTAAGGCACGAGGCCATCAGGAACCGGGTGGGTTTTCAGCAGCCCTGCCGGGATCCCTCAGAGGACTTGGCTGCTCAGCAAGGGGACAGCTTCGGGGCTGCGGCGTGGCCAGCACTGGAGAGCCACAAATTGGTGTTTGTCACCTTCCTGCAGCCCCAGCCACGCTGCTCAGGCAGAAAGGCAGGGCGGGGAAATCCCCCTGCACCCCCCTGACCGGGGCTAATTCACCCCTCATTAAGGAGCAGCCTTTTGCCAGTCGTTGGCTCGGGAGACATTCCAGAGCAGAGCAGTGTCCCAGTTCAGTGGAATATATTCTTCTTAGCAGCTAAAATCAGAGGAGACCCCAAGCAATTTGTCTGCCCTCCCTTCCCAGCCTCTGGAATGTTGCAGCGAGATGCTCAAGGCTCATCTCCCAGCGAGGGGGGATTTTCTACAACCCCGGATTCTGTCTCCAAGGCACCAGTTCCAGACTCGCTGTTACAAACATTGCAGGGTTTATAACAGCTCTTATTTTTCCCTAGAAATATTTTCACACCATGCATGAAGTTAAATTTGGTTCCCGAGCCCTCCCTCCACCTACATCCACATAGCAGGGAACTCCCTTCTACCTCCAACTCCTACTATTTTTGTGTCTCCTGGACAGCCCCAGCTCTCAGATTTCAGGGGAGTTCCTACTTTTATTTGTTTGGGGTTTTTTTTTTCATAGATTCCTGACTCTTAAAGCTGAACAAAGGAGCTTTGAAATGGAACCACAAGCTGGAGCCCACAGGCCCAGTGTGTTTGTCCTCCCTGGGACCTCCTCTCTCCCCATTCCCTGCTTCTCCAGGCAGGTCCCATCCCTTGGATCTTTGCAAACGTGATGCCTGCATGAGGATTTCCCACTCCCTTCTGGGAGGATGAAGGCTGAGAAGCAGGGTATCCTGGCTGGGGGGGGGTTGCTGGGGTTTGGAGTGGGGAGGGAGGGGTTTGGAGTGCTCTTACTTCCTCTCCTCCAGGTGGGAGTTGGGATTCTTCATCTCCATCAACGCACAGCCAAATTTCTGCAGAAAGGGAATAAAAAAGGCCATAAGTTTTGCCGGTCTCTGCAGGAAATGAAGCTGGGATCAGTGACTGTGAGCAGATATCCCTATTTCTGAGCAGGCAGGTCCAGCACCACGTGCCACACAACGCCCAGACCTGTGTCCTGGGCCATTCCAGCCCAGGCTGGGCGAAAAGAGGATGTTCTTCCCCACGTCCCAGTGCCTGTCCCCTGCTGCAGCCCCCACCCCTGTGCTCTGTCCTACCTCTCCGTTCTCGGGGGGGTCCCCGTTGCCGAAGGTGCTGGTGACCACCAGGACCAGGGTTTCGTGCTCCAGGTGCACGACGTCGTACTCGTCCATGGACATCACCTGGGAGGGGACAGAGAGGGCAGCAGGAGCTGGGGGGATCCACCACCAGCCAGTCTGCTGGGAGGGACCCCATTCCACCCAGAGATGGGACATGTCCCTGCTGACTCCATGCTGGTGCTCTGGCAGAGATCTCCCCAGAGGGAGGATGAGGACAAGGGCCTTGAGGGACATGGACAACCATGGAGCTGCCACTCAAGAGGCTGTAGGAATATGTGTGCTACAGTGCAGGAGTATTAGCTGGAAAAATTCCTGTGCAGGTGTCAACCCAGACCCTGTGTCCTGGTTAGAACAGCTGGGACCAGTTCATCACTGGATGGGTGTAACCCAAAACTGGGTATTCCAGAGCCTTCCATGCCATTGCCCAGAAACTGTTATCAACAGAGCATTTGCACCCTCTGCCCAGAGCAGCCCTGACCCCTCAGGCTATAAACTGGGTATTCAGAGGCCTGTGAGACAGGAGGGTGCCCCTGTCCTCCACCCATTGTGGAACTCCTGAGGGAGGTACTGGGCATTCCTGCCTGAACCTGAGGATAGATAATCTTGGGGTCTTGGGACTTTTTTAACCACTTGTGGGATCCAGAGGAAGACTGCAACCATCACTCTTGACCAGACTGCAACCACCACTCTCACCAACATGTTTTCCCCTCTCCTTTTCCTTTGGACTCAGGGGGCCCAAGGAACACCACTCTGTTCATCCCCAGGGTGCTGGGTTATACATTTGGGTTTTGTGGGTTAAAACCAACTGTTTGTCTGTATAATCGTACTTACTGTATTATTTTATTAAATTGTTATTCTGATTTATAATCTCTCTTTTGAGTTGGGTTCATTTCCCCTGCCAGTTTACCTTAAACCAGCACGCCCTGGGAGCTGCTGGAGTCCCCTGGCAGCCAGGAAGCCCCACAGGCATCGAACCACGTATTTTCCAACATCCATATATATTTCCTTGGCCCACCCATAATTCTGTGCCCACCCCCTTGCAGGAGTCAGGAGCTGGGGCAATACCTTGGCATCGAAAGCGTGTTTGAAGATTTCACACAGAGTTTTTGCATAGACCTGGGACTTCCCCGTCTCCGTGGCGTACAGGATGGTGGCCTTGACCCTCTTGGCCATGGCCTGTCCCATCAGCTTGGCTGAGAACTTCACAGCCCTAGGAAGCAAGAGGGGAATCCCAGTAAGAGAGTTTGCTGTCAGTGCCTCTAGCCCAGACCCTTTTATTCATTATTAAATGAACTGTCTGCCTTAAAAAGTTGCAGCGTCGCTTCTTTTGTGAAGCTGTGGAAGAGCACGTTCATCTTGACTTGTCAGAGGGGAAGAGTGGATGGGGGAGCTTGAGCATGGAGCTGAAATAAATACCTGAATGGGTGTAAGAAGGAAAATGCTAACCCAGGTGTGGGGTGGGATTTCTGCAGGGGCAGAGAAGCAGCAGAAGAATTGGGGGTAGAAGTCACTGAAAGCACTGGCCAGGTAATGTCACAGGAAAAGCTGGAGACCAGCCAGAGCTGAAGCTACAGGAGGAACAGGAGCTTCTCCATCCCTTTAAATCCAACCTGTCTGCCTTTCTGCAGGAGGTGTCTCAGCCAACCTCACACCCACAGCCCTGAGACACCAAGGAGGTCAGACAAAGCTGTCTGCACCCCCTCTCCTCTGCACTCTGGTGACTCTGTGACCCTTCCTGGCAGGGAAGTTCCTCCCAGGGCCCAGGGGTTGCCCATTTCTCTGAGCCATGCCCAGCTGCCTCCCGTGGCTGCAATTGTGACTGGCTGTGTGTCCTCCAGTTCTCCCCATGGGCTCAGCTCTGGCAGAGGGGCCTGAGAGGTCACCAGCCTCTGCAATCCTGGCCAGGGTGCTGCAGCACTGGGAATGCTGGCTGCCTGTCTGGGGCATCAGTGGGAGCACCATGACAGGGCACGGGGGAGACACGAACCAGTTTTGGGGCACTGAGCCTGCTGTGGCCAGTTTGTCATGTTAGAGTCATTCATAATCACATCAACACTGTTTCTCCTAGGTGCAGAGTATCTTCACCTTTTCTAAATGGACCATCAAGCCTTTAAATGGGGCCACCAGAGGTCTGGATTTAGCCTGATGCTGCAACAGGGAAAGGGTAGTTTTGGGGAGGCTGAGAGAGCACAAAGCAGCTCTGTGGCCTTTGCAAGAATAAGGGCTGCTTGGTTCCCTTTGCCAGGGGGATCAGACCCTGCCCCAGGTTCTCCAGTTCAGCAGGACTCCTGCATCCCCTGCAGATGAGCTGTGGGGAATGGACACTGCAGCTGGGCTGGTCCCACTGCTGGGAGAAGAGAAGTCCAGCTTCCCACTGCCAAGGAGGGAAGAAATGCTCTGGGAGAATCACTTAGGGGAAAAAAAAAGGGAAGAAAGAAGAGGTAGAAACCCCACCAGGATGGTTCATCCTGCCTCCCATGGGCAACTCCTCTCCATGTCAAAGTCAGCCTCAGGAACATTTCTATTTGCTGCTCTGTGACCACTCCTTTGCTCTCCTGTGGGGGAAATGTCCCCTGTCCCCTGGACTTGCACAGTCCCCAGAGGAGGGAAGGGGCAGGACAGGCAGGGAGTGCAGGTTTGAAGGCTCAGATTTGGCCAGAACCAGCACAGCCTGTCTGACCACCCACAAAACCCCCCTGTGACCAGTGCCAAGCGCAGCACTCGGGGCTGCCGGGCTGGGTCTGCCCCTCGTTCAGCTCATCAGCTCAGCCTAATGGGGAATTACACAAGTAATTCCTTTTCCCTCCATCGGGAACAATGGAGATTTTTTTTCTTTTTTTTTTCCTTTTTTTTTTTTAAATTACCTGCCACGCTCACGTTTCCATCAAGCCATCCCTCACCCGGGCACACACCGACACAGGCATTGTTTCTCCTCCCTCAATGGCCCAATTAATCTCCCCCGTGCTCTCCCCAGCCCGGGCTCGGCTCCGGTGTCAGCTGAAGGAGCACATTCATCAGCTGCTGATCATGTTTATGGATGCAGCTCGCAGGAGGTGACAGCTGAAGAGTGGGAACAAACCGAGGGGAGGGGCTGGGGGAAGCTGCAGCGTGGGGAGCTGCCCTGAGGAGCCAGGGCCACCTGGCAGCCTGGCCACCAACCCGGGGCACACCCAGCCCTCCCCAGCCTTGGCCAGCAGCTCCTCCTGGAGCTCCTACCTCCCTGCCAATGGCCCACGGGGGAGGCATTTGGGCCAGGATCAGCCTAAAGGTCCAAATTACACTTCATTCCTCCGCCCCTGCTGACTTGGAGCTTTGGCAGGGGAGAGGGACTCGTGTGGCCCTTTTCCAGGGGTCAAGTGACCATGAAGTGCAAATCTCAGCTCAGCCCTGCTCCATCTGCTGCCTGGAGGGAGATTCCTCCTTCCTGTCTCCCCCCCTCCTGGCAAGGAGGGTGTTTGGAGGGTTAGACACTCACTGGAGACCTCAAGGTGGTAAAGAATCACTGAGAAAAAGAGAAATATGGACACGAGTTTCATGTCACTTGTGCCAGCACAGCCCTGGACAGCGAGGGGAGGTGTCCCTGCCCCAAGGAGGCTGTGAAAGGAGAACCAGGCAACACACCCCAAAAAAGTGGGAAGGCCATCCCTGAGCATCTCTTACTGGAGAATGAACAGCTTGGGAGAACAGACTATGTGCAACATCTGCTATTCACCTGGTCCCACACCTTCTGGTGGTCTAATGGGGTCTTCAAAGACTGTCTGCCTGTCCAAATGTCCCTCGTGGTAAAGCCCCCAGAGGTCCAGCCTCACACCCCTCTCTCACAGGGCAACTCCATCAGTCAGAGCTGCCCAAAACCAGGACCAGCCCCAAACACTCCAGGGTTTTTCCAGAGCCTGCTGGTACTTACTTTGCTAACTTCTTAAATCCAATGGCCCTCTTCTTGGTGGGAGTCCCATTGACCCCTTTCCAGACGTGGGTGTTCCAGGGGTCCGGCTGGAGAGAGAAGGGCAGCAGTGCTCAGAGCTTTGGGAATGCTTCCATATATTAGAGATTTCCTGCTTCGAGGGAGGGGGGACCCATGGCTTGATTTGGGAGGGGAAGGAGCAGTGTCACCCCCAGGGAACCATCCAGAGGGAGCTGAGGGGTGGGAAGGGGCTGAGGGGACACTCAGAGCCCTCCCAGCTCCACAGGGGGGGCTGGAGGGGGCTGGAAAAGCCCTTTTTTTGTTGTTTTTTTACCTGCACATTAAGTACAGCCTCGAATTTGAGCTCCTCGAGCCCTCCTGGGAGCTTTGGGAAGGGCTGCCATGGGAAGGAGACCCTCTCTGAAGGGCTGGGGGCTCACCCACGGCTCTGCTGAACCAGGGGACAAAACCAGGGAGAGGCAGGAGAGAGGGGAAAGGAGCCAACACTGTTTTCCACCTGCTCCAGGTGCACTGAGCCCCAAATCCCAGGGCTCCAGGGCTCAGCAGCACCCAGGATTGAATTCCTCGAGCCATGAAGGGGAGGAGCAGCTGGACTCCTCCTCACAGCTCTCCCTCATCCTTGGAGCCCCCGGGGGGTATTTTCTGGGCAGTTGGGCAACGGAGCATGCACAGAAAAATTGCAATATCATAAACCTTGCTGGCTTGTAACAGCATCTGGCCAACTGCTTTCTCACCTCTTGAGATGCTCCTTAACAGCCCAGAGGCGAAAAGAAGGCAGGCAATGCCAGAAGGGGAGAGTGATGGAAACACATCCTTCCCCCTCCCCGGCCCACTGTTTGTTTCTTTTTTTTTCCCTAAGAGGCCCTTTGGGAAGGGGAGGCAGCAGAAGCCAGGAACAAGCACACAGAAGCTAATTCCGTGCCCTCACAGGCTGCAATCAGGGCCAGGAAGCATCGGGGTTCCTGGTGGGTTGGTTATAGAAATGAACAGACTGCTCCTGGTTTGGGATTGTTCCTTAAGGGCTCTTGACTAAAGGTCACATTGTGTGGAAACCACCGGAGCAGGGATGGCTGGATAACGAGGGAGTGTCTGCTTAGGGGCTTTCTCCCCCCCATGGTCTGAAGTGTTAAATACTCCAGCAGCAGCATTTCAGCCTCCTGCCAGTCCCGCTGGGCAGGAGCCCCCCTGTCAGCCTGTTGGATCCCCAGGCTGGCAGGAGCCATCCACTCAGCCCTGCAGGCTGCAGAGGGGAGGGATGCAGTCCTTTTCCAGGTCATTCCCTCACTCGCCAAAGTGCAAAATTAGGCTCTTCCAAAGGGAGGAGCTCTGCTCCATCCAAAAGCTGGGGGGGGGTCAAAAAGTCGGGTGCCCACAGAGGGGCAAAAAGCCATTGCCCTGAGACAAGGGGTGACGTCCAGGGGTTATTACAGGACATTAGGGCATCAATTAGACTTGTCATGGACCTGAGGGACAGCTTGCTGAAGGGATTAGATGGTGTTCCTGCCCTTCCTGCATCTCCACCTCCCACCCTGCTCTTGGCCCCACCTCTGGGCACCGGTGGGAGGTGAAGGTGAGGACAGTACCTGGTACTCAAAGGAGGGTGTGAGGCGGTAGTTGAGCATTTCCTGGTGGAACACTGGGGTGATGCTGCCAGACATGGGCGGGACAATCCACACCCAGTCGGCAGGACAGCCCCCACGGCACCGGTACTCGTTCTCCATGTGCTTGATGAAGGACTCCGTGGCCGAGTGGTGATCCACGATGGTCACCTTGTCGCTCTGTCGGGGGAGGACAGAACAGAGCCCACAGCTGTTACCACACCCCAGAAGGCAAGAGCCAAGATTTTGGAGCTGTCCCAAATATTCCTCACTCCCATGGTCTTTGGAGATGACCCAGGGTGGCTGCTCTTCCCAAGGAAGCTGTGAAGCTGCCCCAGTCCTTCCTGGATAGATGTGCTCTGGGATCACTGCTCCTGTGATTTGTCATGGGCCAGGCAAAGACTGAGGTGGCACGAAGAGGATGGAGCATCCTCTGCTCGTCCCCTTGGAGAGCTCTGTCGTGGCTTGTGCAGCTCCATGGGGCAGCTCTGATCCAGCTCTGGGAGGGGCTCCCACCCTCTGAACTTGGATTGCCAAGCACTAGTTCAGCTACTGAACCTTTAAGTGCTGGCAGGGGGAGAACCTGGGCCAATTCTTGCCTCCTGGATGCGACAGAAGGGCTGGATCTTGCTCCCTAGGGATATTCCCTCTGGACCAGCAGAACTCTGGTGCTGGTAGGGCTGTCTTTACAACATCCAGGGCACAGAGGTTATAAATTTTACTGCAGAACAGCCCCGAATTAGGGAGGCACAGCCCAATTTCAGCAGAGTGCTGCGTTCTCCTCGGATGGATGTCTCCATCCCGCTCCCTGTGTCCCTCGAGCCTGGCCCGAGCACAGTCCTGCTCTGGAGGTACCTGGAAGCTGTACAGCACAGCAATGTTGATCTCCACCAGGGCCTGGTCCTTCCACAGCGAGGAGGTTTTCCTCATGTCCAGATTCATTTTCTTGGCCACTTGCTGTAACAACACGTGGCAGAAAGTGAGGGCTTCTCGTGGCCAAGGGACCAAGGACTGGAGATCTGTGCCTGGGAGAGGAGCCCAGAGGAGGGACCCAGGCTGACACAGGGCACCCTCAGGGCAGGGAAGGGCTGATGTTTTGCTCTCCATGGCAGGAGCACGGCCTTCCTTCCCCCCTGAGCAGAGGGAGGTGACCAAATGCCGCTCAAAGGGCCATCGAGAGCAGTTGTACACACACAAACACATGTACACACACACACATGTACACACACAAACACACACACACACACACACACACACACATGTACACACTCGCTCTCACCCCTCTGGTTTTCAGGTGTCTGGGGAGCAGTGCAGCCCCTCTAAATAACACAACATTCCCCTTGGAATGTCCCAGTGAATCCAGATGCCCTGCACTGGCACCTCCCCATGGCTTGGCTTTATCCCTCCCACTGTGGGCAGCCCCCAGGTCACTGTTGAACACTCCGGAGGGGCCAGCTGGAGGGTCCCCATGGGCAGGAGCATCCCCGAGGAGCCACCAAGTGTCTCAGCACCCATGACCTCAGTCAAGCACACGACCAGCTGCCTGCTGATCCCTAAGATTCTCTGGGAAGTCCGTGGGGAGCTCAGTAGGCCTCTGTGTTAGACACACAACAGCCAGCCCGTCACACCCTTGGCTCCAGGAGAACGGATATCCCGTACTGCCCCGCTGAAGGTAACACTGTGCCAGTGTCCTGCCTGCTCCCCAGTGACTTCCCACTCCCCAGGAGCACCTGGAGGAGGAGGAATTACCTCCAGGATGTTGTAGCGGGAGTTGTCGCAGTAGTCCCGGACCCCGATCTCGGTGCCCATGTACCAACCGCTGAAGGGGCAGGCGGAGAACTCCAGGCCCCCGATCTCCAGGAGCATGTTGGAAACTGCTGGCAGACCATACCACTTCAGCCCCAGGTCCTTGAACCACTCAAACCTGCC